CAGCACACAGTTAACTCTTTGATCGCACATAATTTAAACCACATGTTAACCCCTTTCCTGCCCAGTGCCATTAGTTCAGTGTCAGTGCTTTTTATTAGTACCAATTACTGTATTGGTGTCACTGGGGATGTCAGTGGCAGTTAGCCAGTCCCCCCCCCCCCCCCCCAGTCTCAGAATGCCTGTCGCACTCAAGCTGTCCTGCTATACATCGCTGATCGCCACCATTACTAGTATAAAAAAATTAATTAAATTCCAGTATATATACCGCCATTTGTAGACACTATAACTTTCACATAAACCAATTAATTTACATGTATTGAGATTTTTTGCAGGAAAGACATGGAGCAGAATACAATTTTTTTTTACTAGATACGTTTTAGAGCAAACATTTTTTAAAAATTGTCGGTCTTTTTTTGTTTATAATGCAAGAAATAAAAAACCGCACGGGTGATCGAATACCACCAACAGAAAGCTCTATTTTAAAAAAAGGACATACATTTCATTTGGGTGCAACGTTGCATGACTGCGCATTTGTCAAAGTAATGCAGCGCCATATCACAAAAAATGGCCTGGTCAGGAAGGGGGGTAAATCCTCTGGAGGGCAAGTGGTTAATCACCCCTGGGGGTTTTATTTTTTGCTAAACAAACAAAAAAGACCAACAATTTTGAAAAAAAAAGTTTTTCTTAGTCTCTGTTAAAATTTTTTATAAATAAGTGATTTTTCTGCTTCACTGATGTGTGCTGATGAGGCTACACTGGTGGGCCAACTGATAGGTGGCACAGATGAGGCTGCACTGTTATGCGGCACTGATGGGCACTGATAGGTGGCACTGATGAGGCTGCACTGATAGGCGGCGCTGATGGGCATTGATAGGTGGCACTGATGAGGCTGCACTGTTATGCGGCACTGATAGGGGGTACTGATGAGGCTGCACTGATATGCGGCACTGATGGGCACCAATATGCAGCACTGATGGGCACTGATAGGCGGCGCTGATGGGCATTGATAGGTGGCACTGATGAGGACATGCACTGTTATGCAGCACTGATGGGCACTGATAGGTGGTACTGATGAGGCTGCACTGATATGCGGCACTGATGGGCACTGATAGGCGGCGCTGACGGGCATTGAAAGGCGGCACTGATAGGCATCACTGAGGAGGCACTGATAGCCAGCACTGAAAGTCAGAAAAGATGGGCACTAATGGGCACTATTGGTTGCACTTATGGGGCTAAACTGTTAATTGCCATGATGATCAGTGTAGAAATGTAACTTACTGGCTCTAGCACGGTCAGGAAGTAGTTAAAGTAGAACTATAGGCAAAAGTTTTTTTTGTCATTTTGGTTAGAGCAAGGGAGGGTTATAACTCCTGTCAGAATTTTTTCAGTCATCTGTGTCCCATTGGAGAGATTTCCCTGCACCTACTATCCCATAGCCAAACAGGAAGTGGGAGGAAATCCCTGCAAATTAAAGGAATTCCTTGGGGACCCCAGGTGACCAGAACAAGTGTCCCCATTGGAAGATTTCCCCCCTACTACGACTCTGGGGACAACCCAAAGTTTGGGATTTTATTTCACTTTCACTTTCAACGATAATAGTAAACAGGAAAAATAGAGAGGGTGGGTCTCCTTAACCACTAGGGGACCAGTACATATACTGCTACAAGGCGGCCCCTGTGCGCAGGATCATGTATATAAACGTAATCCTGCATTTCGGGGTAGGGGTGCGCTCGAGGCGGGTAATCACTGGTAGGGACCCGGTGATTGACACCCGCAGCTGCGATCGGTGCCGCGGGTGTCAATCACCGGGTCCCTACCAGTAATTACCCGCTGGAGCCTGGCGCTTGCTGGCAAACACTGACAGGGAGGAAGGCTGCATTGTCTTCAATGGAGCTTTCCTCCCTGTCAGCTTTCAGCACACTGTTCTGGATTGCCGAGCACAGCCTTCAGGGACAGTGTGTTCCTGTGAAGTACACCCCCCCCCCTTCCGCCCCCTAGAAAAACACTCTCCTTACACAGTTAACCCTTTGATTGCCTCCAAATGTTAACCCCTTCCTCCCCAGTGCCATTATTACAGTGGATTTTTTTTTTTTTTGCACTGATCACTGTATTGGTGTTACTGGGGATGTCAGTGACCCCAAGTCATTCCCCCCCCCCCCCCCCCAGTTACAGAATGTCTGCTGCAGTCCTGCCATAAGTCGTGATCGACGCCATAAGTTGCAGATTGCTGCCATAAGTCGCTGATTGCCGCTATTATTAGTATAGAAAAAAATCCGCCATTTGCAAACACTATAACTTTCACGTAAACCAATTAATTTACACATATTGGGATTTTTTTTTTAGCAAAGACATGACGCAGAATACATTTTGACCTAAATTTATGACAAAATTTGATTTTTACATTTTTTTACTGGAAATGTTTTATAGCAAAAAGTCCAAAATATTGTTTTTTTTATAGAGCAAAAATAAAAAAACGCACAGGCGATCAAATACCACCGAAAAAAAGCTCAATTTGTGGGAAAAAGGACATAAATTTCATCTGGGTGCGGCGTTGCATGACCGCACAATTGTCAGTTAAAGTAACGCAGCGCCATAACGCAAAAAATGGCCTGGTCAGGAAGGGGGGGGGGGGTAATCCTCAGGAGGGAAAGTGGTTAAGGAAGGTAGGCTCTGTGTGTGTGTGTTGGGCGCTCACGCGTGACCTCAGAATGACGTGTTGTGTTTTAAAAATGTCCAACTGTCATTGAGAATGTAAACCAACCCTGTGTATGAGGGGCCCCCGAACCTGAAGTGCACCCGACCCCCCCCACAAGTTGTAAATCTGGCCCTAGCCTTATCCTTGTGTGAATTGAGCCCAATTATTACCCTGAGATTGCTGTGTAAGAAGGATCTGCATTCTATTCTACATTATAGATGACATCTCTAATAACTGCCTCTGATCTCCCCACCACATCCCCCCACCCCCGGTCCTGAAAACTCTTCTCGTACTGTGTTTATGTTTAGGATTGTGGTAATTGGGCATACATTTCATTTTGATGCAGCGTTGCATGACCGCACAATTATCAGTTAAAGTAATGCAGCGCCATAACACAAACCACTTATGTAACAGCTGCCTGACCGCACTATAGCAGAAAAACTGCTACAGGGCGGCACAGGTGCACAAAATCACAGGGGTAGCCCCTAACGTGATTCGCGCTCCCGTGGTTTTCACGCCCCTCCCAGATAGCATCAGATTGCCCATCAGTACACCAGTAATCACATTTAACCCCTTGATTGCCAGGAACACGCTCATGCACAATAAACGCACGGGTGATCAAATACCACCGAAAGAAAGCTCTATTTGTGTAAAAAAAAAAAGGACGTAAATTTTGCTTGGGTACAGCATTGCATGACCGCGCAATTATCAGTTGAATTAGTGCAGCGAAAAGTAGCAAAAAGAGGCCTGGTCATTAAAGCGGAGTTCCACTCACCCTGTCAAAAAAAAAAAAAGTCAGCAGCTACAAAAACTGTAGCTGCTGACTTTTAAAGAACAGCCACTTACCTGTCCCACGATCCCGTGGTGTGTCCCCCGCAGTCCAGGTATTCCAGGCGCCGGCATTTTCAGTGTGGGCACCCAGCTGTGATAGCTTGCGGCTTCACAGCCGGGTGCCCACTACGCATGCGCGAGCAGCATTGCGCTTCATGAATGGTCCTGTAGTCTTCTGGGACCTGTCACGTGTTCTAAAAGACTACGGGGAGGGAGGGAGGACACCTTCCACTTCCGATTGCCTATGCAATCGAACGGGAAGTGGGAGCGGGTACCTGTATAATTCGGGTACCCGCTTCCCCCCCCCCGCCTAAAGGTGCCAATCCTTAATGGGGAGTGGGGGAGCAGTCCTTACAGCGGAACTTCCCCGTTTGATTAGAGCTCCGCTTTAAGGGGAGTAAGTCCTCCAGAGGGCAAGTGGTTAATGGGACACAGACAGCAATAAAAACCTGACAGGGGGTCTAATACATCACTACTCCATCCAAAACTAAAAAAAAAAGTTTTGCCTTTCGTTATAGTAACAAAAACCAAGTTTGTGTGGAGGTCACATGTTTCCTGTCCAGAATGGAGCTCCAGTCTGCAGCCACACCCCCTTGTAGATACATAATGTATGTGACAGGAAACATGTGACCTCCACTTCCTTGAGTCGTGTCTATTGGTTGTTTGTTACATTAAAGTACATGAAATTTAAAAAAAGTGGAGTGGAGGTCACATGTTTCCTGTCAAGTGGAGCTCCACTCTTCTGCCTCTGCTTGACGTTCACTAAGAATAGAAGGGGAATGGAGGTCACGTGTTTCCTATAGAAAATGGAGCTCCATTCTGCAGCCAGACTCTGTTCTGTTGGAAATACCCGCAATAGAGAGACTGCGGCTCTGACGTCCGATGGGCGCGCCTACTCCGCGCCTGCGCAATGAGCGAGAGGAAGCTGATCTGATGCAACCGGCTGTCAGGCAGTGTGGGAGACATGGAGGCGATCGGTGAGGGCACGGCTCGGATGCAGCTGGGTGAGAATGGGGGAGGCGAGGCCGGTCAGGGCTGTGGGGGTCTGTATATGATCCAGGGCTTCCTCCATCACTGTGTGCTGAGCATCTGGATGACAGGGGGGTGGGGGAGCCTGGCTGATGAATGGGACTGGACAGGGATGACCCCACACTGGCTGTATTACCAGCTCAGTACAAGGGGGAGCACTCTATGTGACAGGAATCACCATTATAATCAGTACATGGGGACCCAAGGGGGCCCATGGGGGTGCGCGCGCGGAGGGGGCCCATGGGGGTGCGCGCGCGGAGGGGACCCATGGGGGTGCGCTCGCGGAGGGGGCCCGCTCGCGGATGGGGCCCATGGGGGTGGCGCGCGCGCGGAGGGGATATATAAATAGCTCGTGGAATGGCGTGAAACTGCGGTACTTAAAAAATCTCCATGGGTGATGCTTTAAAATTGTCTACAGGTTAGCAGTGTGAAGGTACAGAGGAGGTCTAGTGTGAGAATTATTGCTCTTGCTCTGACGTTCGTGGTGATAACTCACATGTGTGGTTTGAACATATGTGGGCGTGGCCTATGTATGCGTTCACCACTGGGGGATGGGGGCACTTTAAACTTATTTATTTACACTGTCCCATTAAAAAAAAATGTTAATCACTTGTATTCCTATCACAAGGAATGTATGCATCCCCTGTGATAGAAATAGTGTAGGTGGGGGAGAACCGACATGGGGGGGTGTAGGATGGGGAGATCCAGACGTGGGGGGGGTGTAGGACGGGGGAGAACCAGACGTGGGGGGGGGGGGGGGTGTAGGACAGGGTAGAACCAGACGTGGGGGGGGGTGTAGGACGGGGGGGGGGGGTGTAGGAAGAACCAGACGTGGGGGGGGGGGGTGTAGGACGGGGGAGAACCAGACGTGTGGGGGGGTGTAGGACGGGGGAGAACCAGACCTGGGGGGGGTGTAGGACGGGGAGAACCAGACGTGGGGGGGGGTGTAGGACGGGGAGAACCAGACGTGGGGGGGTGTAGGACGGACCAGGGGGGGGGGGTGTAGGACGGGGGAACCAGACGTGTGGGGGGGGTGTAGGACGGGGGAGAACCAGACCTGGGGGGGGGTGTAGGACGGGGGAGAACCAGACGTGTGGGGGGGTGTAGGACGGGGGAGAACCAGACGTGGGGGGGGTGTAGGACGGGGGAGAACCAGACGTGTGGGGGGGTGTAGGGGGGGACTGTAGGACGGGGGGGGGTGTAACGGGGGAGAACCAGACGTGGGGGGGGGGGTAGGACGGGGGAGAACCAGACGTGGGGGGGGGTGTAGGACGGGGGAGAACCAGACCAGACGTGGGGGGGGGGTGTAGGACGGGGGAGAACCAGACGTGGGGGGGGGGGTGTAGGACGGGGGAGAACCAGACGTGGGGGGGGGGTGTAGGACGGGGGAGAACCAGACGTGGGGGGGTTGTAGGACGGGGGAGAACCAGACGTGGGGGGGGGGGGGGGTGTAGGACGGGGGGAGAACCAGACGGGGGGGGGGTGTAGGAGGGGACAAGTAGTACAGCCCCCCCATACACGGGGAGATGGGCAGCATTTGATATAAATGTAGATGTGTTTTCAGATTTTTATTGTCAGACATACATGGAAGGATCTGTGTGTTCGTTTGTTTTAGAAGCCGACATCTAGCGGTTTATTTACTAAAGCTGAAGGGTGGACAATCCGTCTCACGTCTGCATAGAAACCAATCAGCTTGTTCCGTGAAGCTCTAACAGTAAACCTGGAAGCTGATTGGTCGCTATGGAGCAGTGCGGCTGATTTTGCACTCTCCAGCTTTAGTAAATAAACCCCTGAGCTTTCTTCTAGTGTTTGGGTGGATACTTCTCAAACAAACGCCATTGGCTACAATGGGAGGGATGAACTATTGCTGCATTTCAGTTGACAGTGACATGTATTTATTCTCCTCTGAGCACGGTTATAGACTTGTTGATCATACCTGTAGTTACAAACACTGACTTTTTACATATTTGACCGATGGCATGTATGATACAACAGTGCCGTCTAGAGGTTACATTTTGGCAAAGGAGTCACACCCGTGTGGGGGATGGTAAAACTTTCCAAATAAAAAGCCAACAACAGAGACTGAAAGGAGGCCTCTATAATGACTTAAAGGAAAAGTTCACCTTTCAACCAGGTTAAAAAATGTGCATTTATTATTTTGTGTTGCAGGGGCCTGGAAAGCATTGCACCAGTGATCAGCAGATTGCTGGTGCCATGCAGGACTCCTGCAGACTTGTCAGTATATCCGTATGCTCGTACGGGCAAGCCGATACATACTGACGGGAAGAATCAATTAACTACCACAGCACGCAACAGCTCTATGGTAGCTCATTGAGAACTACAAGCCGTCAGCCGCAAAGGCGGTGCATACTTGTAGTTTTCTCATTCACAGAATGCTGTGATAGAGTGACATGGTCAGGTGGGAGAAGATCCCCCGCTAGCTTTCAAAGCGGGCGGGGGGCGGTGCTTTCATGACATGTTATACCCTGAATATGGGTGTAACATGTTATGAAAGGGGAACTTCTCCTTTACACCAAGGAAGGTGTGTACCAGCCAGAGGAAGCTTCACCTGAAGACACTTTCACCCGATCTCCTGCAATCCCTGTAGAGCACGGCTGTCAAACTGGCGGCCCTCCAGATGTTGCCAAACTACAAGTCCCATGAAGCATTGCAAGATTGACAGTTACAAGTATGACTCCCAAAGGCAGAGGCATGATGGGACTTGTAGTTTGGCAACAGCTGGAGGGCCGCCAGTTTGTCACCCCTGCTGTAGAGTAAGCTTTTAAGTCCTCATTGCCTACAGAGATCGCGAAGCCGCTGTGACTTGAGTTAAACGACTTTTAGCCCGGGTTCACACTGCGGTGCAATTGGAGCCCATACAAAAAAGGGCTCAAATCACACTGCAAAGAATTGCATGCACTTTGATCAGGAATGTGGAGCGATGCAGATCCCCCCCTCCGCTCTGGAGCTGTCATTTGTCTGCTGTGCTGAAGGTCCTGAGTCATGACCAACGTGTGCTGGACGTACAGTAAACCCTTGGCTTGACACAGTGCATTGTGATTTATTCTGCAGATAAGGTCCCCTCACTATTTTCCTCTTTGTTAGGTGCTATGCTTGTTTTTTGGGGGTTTTTTTCCTGATAATGTAGCTGCCAGCAATTGTGTGCCCCGCTCCTGGATCTAGTGTCTATGACTCTCTAGTGGTCTGCAGATCACCATCCTCTCCCATCATCTAAGACAGGGGTCTCCACACTTTTCAATCAAAGGGCCAGTTTACTATCATTCAGACTTTAGGAGGGCCGGATTGTGACCAATGGGGGTTGAAAATGTCCTGGACCCTGAGGTGAGAATTAATCTTGGCTCAGGATTAGTAGTCAGATACATAGTGCCTGTGGTCAGCAAGAGGAGAAGATATAGTGGCCCATCATTGGTATCAGTTGGAAGAATAGTACTCCAACATTGGTATCAAAACAGTGCCCTATTGTTGGTGTCGGTGAGAGGAATAGTGTCCCATCATTAGTGTCAGTGGCAAGAATTATGCCCCAATGTTTATATCAGTGGGAGGAATAGGGCCCCATATCAGTGGGAGGAATAGGGCCCCATATCAGTGGGAGGAATAGGGCCCCATATCAGTGGGAGGAATAGGGCCCCATATCAGTGGGAGGAATAGGCCCCATATCAGTGGGAGGAATAGGGCCCCATATCATGGGAGAATGATATGATGAAAAAAAAGGGGGAGGGGCCTTAGGTGGGCTTAACAATTGGTGGCACCACAAATGTGACATTAATGTGAATGTGCCTTTGGGTTCGTTTACACTTGCAGTTGGGAGGGTAAAACGCTGCTGCGGAGTCAGCTTATTACCATCCCTGAACTGCTCCCCCTTTTGCTGCAGAGGCTGGGGGTGTACAAATGCCGCAATGTTTTGCTTCGTGACCACGGCAGGATTATGACCCCATTTAGGTGAATCGTGACACGCTGCAAGTGCCCCTAGCTGTGCACTACATGCATGGTTCTGGCATGACTGTCCAGTGTTTAGGAGGTAAAATAGTGAGGCGGGGGGGGGGGGGGGGGGGGGGGTAGGTACAATGCCTCCTTCACCGCCTTTCAAATGCAGATTGCTCTTCAGAGAACAAAGCTAGCGTGAATGAGCCCTTAAAGTGCAAGCTCACTTTTTTTAGAAAAAAAAAAATTGAAAAGGTGATCTTACACCCTCCACACCCGCCCCCAGTCCCCACTGTACTTGCCTTCATTAGTGATGAGCTGTCAGTGCCCACACAGCCAGTGCAGCAGTCCAGGGATTTGTAATCTCAGTCGTCTTCCACTTCCTTTCGCAGGACTTCTGGGCAGATCAGAGCGATTCTGGTCAGGTGCTGGCATGTGGCCACTTTGACCAATCAGAATCACTCTGATCTGTCCCAGAAGCCCTAAGGAAAAAAAGAGTGCGTATTTCAGGTTCCCAGATCACTGCAGCGGCTGCATGAGCAGAGAGAGCTCATCACTGATGGAAGTGAGTACGGCTGGGACAGGGCAGTGGGATGGGTGTTCAACAGTTTAATTTTGTTTATGAACAGGTGGACTTATACTTTAAGATGAACTACAGTGCTTGTGGCACAACGTGGCACCTGGGATCCAGCTGCCGCTTCCTGGTTCTTGAAGCTGGCCCCCCTTATGTGCGTCACTGGGGTCCAGTTTCAAGAACCAGGAAGAGGCAGCCAGGACCTGATGTGTGGCATCAAGATAGCAGATTGTCACAGAACAACATTGGGATCACTAGGTGAGTGATTAGGTCTGTTTATAAAGGATGACCCAGCAAAAGTAGAGGATAAAAAAAAAAAAAAAAAAAAAAAGAGCGTTGAAGTTCCCCTTTAAATGACAACTTCCTGATTTTTTTTTCTTTTTTTTTCTTTAAACTCTGTTTGCACTCTGACCAAGGTTATGCTGATCTGTCCCTAAGTGTGTACTTGGTGGTCACAGGTTTGTCCACTGTTTAACCACCTGCCTTCCGGAAGATTTACCCCCCCCCCCCCCCCCCTTCCCTTCATGACCAGGCAATTTTTTTTTTTTTTTTTTTTTTGCTGTATAGCTCTGTGCTAGTTTAATTGACAATTGCGCAGTCATGCAACACTGCACAAATGAAATTTCTATCATTTTGTTCACACAAATAGAGCTTTCTTTTGATGGTATTTGATCACCACTGTTTTTTTTTAGTTTATAGCGCAGAAATAAAAAACCAACAAAATTTAGAATAAAACAATATTTTTTACTTTTTGCTTTAAAACATATTAAAAAAAAAAAAAAAAGTCTTCATAAAATTAGGTCAAAATATGTTCTGCTACATGTCTTTGGTTAACCGCTTGCCCTCCAGAGGAATTTCCCCCCTTCCTGACCAGGACACTTTTTGCGATACGCCGCTGTGTTCCTTTAACTGACAATTGCGCGTTCATGCCACGCTGCACCCAAATGAAGTTTATGTCCTTTTTTTTCCCACAAATAGAGCTTTCTTTCAGTGGTATTTGATCGCCTATCAGGGTGGATAAAAATCAATGATTTTTTAAAAACAAATCAGATTTTTTTGATTTAAATGGGATTTTTTTTGATTTAAATGGGATTTTTTTAAATAAAATGCTTTTTGAGGAAAATATATTACCATCCAAAGGTTATTCCATCATGAAATAAAGATTCGTTTTTTAATTATGTAGAATAAGGCTGTATATGTTTAATTTTTTTGGTAAATAAATGCCATGAATCCATTCACAATGTCATGCTCTTCCAGAGGTTTGTGTAAGATTATTGGGCAGTTTCTCTGCCTACAAGATATTATCACAGATGTTGGTTTGCTTTTGCAGTTCTCAAACCTGAATTTGACTCAGCGGAGATCACAGGCCTCTTCTTCACAGCAAAAATGTTATAACATGAACAGAGTTAAGAAAAAGCCCTTCATCCTAACTTCTACAAACCTATGAATACAGAATCAACCCCTTCAGTGCTAAGTTTCAAGAAGTTCAGTGAATAGAATAGAAACAATATTTTTCTGATTGTTTGGAGTGGAATAGATCTGCACAAGAAGAAAGTGAAACTAAGTGTGAGGAGGAAGGGCTGACAGTCTAAGTTTCTTAAAATATATATATTTTGTTTAGCCAAATTAGTTAACAAACATGGATGTTTAAGCAAATACCATATGCTGGAATGTTATTGTTTCAGTTGAATAAATCTATTTAAATTGTTATTATTAAGGTAATGATTATTTTTCTCCTTCCTAAGTACAACAGAAAAGTTGTCCAAATATGAATGATTAACCTATTAAACTGGGGATAAAAAAACTAATATGAAAAGTTGTTATTCTAAAAATCTTCATCTACTTGCATATTAAAGTTATACCAGCAAGAATTAGTCTTTATGTAGAAAACTAGGATTTAAATCAAGCCTTACTGACTAGTGATTTAAATCAGTTTTATTTAAATCAAATCCACCCTGTCACCTATGCATTTTTTTTGTCCGCTATAAACAAAAAACCGACCGCCAATTTTGAAAAAAAAACAATATTTTTGACTTTTTGCTATTAAACATGTCCGGTAAAAAAAATTTAATTTCTGCATAAATTTAGGTCAAAATGTATTCTGCTCCATGTCTTTGCTAAAAAAAAAAATCCCAATACGTGTAAATTAATTAGCTTACGTGACAGTTATAGCGTTTACAATGGCGGTATATGACGAGTCGTCCAATATATCCTTTGAGTGAAGTCAGACTATCCTTCTGATACGACGTGTTTGTCTTAAAAGAAAAGACGGGAGTATCCGCTGTAACTAGCAGGCCAGGTTTTGCAGTCATTTCTCATCCCCGTGCTCCTGCAACACGAGAGCCATTCAGATTTGTTTCAGTGCTGATCTAATGCAGTCCTGCAGGAGAGAATGTTCTGCTGACTTCTATTCCAACAATCATCTAGCCATAGACTGCCTAAATATCATCTGATTCCTGCTGCATTTTCAAGCACCATTTGGCTTGGCAAAAGTTAATAAAAAAAAATCAAACTAGTCGGAAAAATGATGGGCTGAACAGTGACTACATATTTTATTTATTTCAGGTACTTATATAGCGCCATCAATGTACGCAGTGCTTTACATATATATTGTACATTCACATCAGTCCCTAACCCTCAAGGGGTGTACAATCTAAGGTCCCTAACTCACATTCATACATACACATACTAGGGCCAATTTAGACAGGATCCAATTAACTTACCAGCATGTCTTTGGAGTGTGGGAGGAAACCAGAGTACCAGGAGGAAACCCACGCAGGCACAGGGAGAACATGCAAACTCCAGGCAGGTGGTGCCGTGGTTGGGATTCGAACCAACGACCCCAGTACTGCCAGGCGGAAGTGCTAACCATTTAGCCACTGTGCTGCCCATACTTTCAGATGTGATCACTGTTTTCCAACGCCATTGTATTCCAGCAGCCACAAGTGCTGTGGCTGCTGAATACTTTAGCCATGAGATTCCTCTATCCACACAGATGAGACAATCTATCTTGTGTATGGCTAGCTTTATACTATCCAGGGGTAGGCAACCTGCGGCTCTCTAGCTGTTGTGAAACTACATTTCCCATGAGGCATTGCGACATTACAAAACTGACAGTCACAGCTGTGACTTGCAGAGGCATGATGGAACTTGTAGTCCTGCAACAGCTGGAGAGCCGCAGGTTGCCTACCCCTGTACTATACAATCCATCCTGTGTGATGTCACCCTAAGCTGCTGCTGATTGTAGATTCATCTGTTTACCTGGAATAAAATCTTCTCTGTGTTGTACTTTTATTTACCCTGCTCTCGTATATCACTAAATAAAAGGTCTTCATTTTCTCCACACAGAAGAAATGTACGTGTCTGACAAAGAAGGGAATGACACCACTGGTGATGGGACCAAGGAGAAACCCTTTAAAACTGTTCTTCAGGTAATTTACCCAATACAAGTCCCTGTTCTCTAAACCGTGTTATATGGCCTTCACCATTAAGATTCAAGACCTTTTTATGTTTTCAGTTTTGTAATTTTACATATTGCAGTCATTTTAATGACTGATATGTCATGTTTTATATACTGTATTTATTACAGATATTATATAGCACTGACAGTTTAAAGTGTTATTAAACCTAGAACCCTACATTTACTATATCTAGTCTCCCACAGTACACAGAACATTCATATATTTTAGTAAATATAAACTGCTAAATACCTTTTCTTATCAGCAGTATATAGCAGCCTTGTGACTTCTATCAGTGTCCAGCTGAGCACTAGTTAAAGCTTGCAGGAGGAGTTTTCATTCTGCTTTAACTGTCCTATGAGGCTGCATAACCCCTGACTCTCTATCTGGACAGTGCTGATTGGCCCTGTGCTGATCACATGCACCCCCCCCCCCCTCCAAGAAAAAAACACTCTAGCAATACACAACACACTGAGCATGTGCAGAGTGACTCCTTGAGCTCTGCACTATCAGCAGATGGATTGGGGACTGTGGAAGAAGGGGAGGATCAGAGAAGACAGGATCAATCAGCCTTCTTATGCCATGGCGAGGATTAACCCCTTAGGTTCCACAATGAGTATAATAAGTATGCTTTACTGCATATACAGACTGATTTTACTTATGTGGGTCTAGTAACATTTTAAAGTAGAACTATAGGCAAAACTTTTTCATTTTGGATAGAGAAAGGAACGATTATAACCATTGTAATTTTTTTTTGCCATCTTTGTGTCATTGGGGAGATTTACTTTCACTTCCTGTCTCATAGCCAAAACAAGAAGTGAATGGAAATCCTTGTAAATTTAGGGAATCCCTAGGGCAGCCTTTCTCAACCAGGGTGCCTTGAGGTGTCTTCAGGGGTGCCTTGGCAAAATGTCTAAAAATTGCCCAAAACTTGTATACAAGCCAGCGGGTGGAACAAGCCTGCCATTTAGTCACACAAAGTCACCTATTTTCATTGTGCACCATTACGACCTTTTAGCCGCCAGCATCCTGACAACCAATGACATCATTAGTTGATAAGGAGGATGTCGGCTGCCTGCACAGCATCCTAGTTTGACCCTCCCCTGCCCCTCTCCATCTTTGCTGGGGTCACATTAGCTCAGTGATGGAGAAAAACTGAAGAAGAGAAACTCTGGAATACTAGTCAGTACCAGAGTGCAAGAGTATATTTGCTTTGGAAGAATAAATCACCTCTCATGTTGGGTGTCCTACGTGTGTGAATGTTGCTGCTATTCGAATAGTTTTTCACATTTTAGAATGGGGGTGCCCTTTTAAAATTATGGACGGTCTTGAGGCACCCCATTTTAGAATGAGGTGCTTCAAGACTGTCCATAATTTTAAAGGGTGCCTTGACTGAAAAAAGGTTGAGAAACACTGCCCTAGGGGACCCCCAGGTCATCAGAACTAGTGTCCCCATTGGCCGATGTCCCCTTTATTACTTTTCTGGGGACAACCTAAAATTTGGGATTATCTTTTACTTTCACTTTCGATGATAATGGTAAACAGGACAAACCGAGAGGGAGAATCTCCCTAATGGGGACACAGACAGCAATAAAAAAAAAAAGTTTTGCCTTTAGTTATTGTTTAACCACTTTCCGGCTGGCCCATGTCGCTTTACTGCTAGAGGGCAGCCACTCTGTGCAGAATCGCACTTTCTATAAAACAGTCATTGATTATGACCATGTAAAGACGTTAGGTTGCAGGCTATTTACATTGTAAAGGGATAAGAAGATTGCCCTCTGGGTCCAGCGATGTCCTGGGGTTGGAATCAGAAAAGGACTTATGAAGGTTCAAATACCCACTGGGTGGGGTGTTCTCCTACAGGGCCTGCCATGCAGAAATAGCAATTGCCCAGAAGGCATTTCTCCTTTTGCAGAGGGCTATTTGTAGTCATTCCCCAGGGGGCATTGCTCTATAGTCCTCCATCCTTGTACACCAGTTAAAATAATCGGATTGTCATCGGCCCTTTTGCTCTGCAGCCACCACATAGCCATGAACAAGAGATCAGGCAACTCCCTTCAGAGTCTTCCCAGACAGGTTTTTTTGCTTTTTAAAGGAATCTGTCACAGAGGTTACAATTCAAAAACACATGAAAACAGAAGACAAGAAAAACAGGTAGCTGCATTTAAATGGAGAATCTCCTTACTGGTCACCAGGGGCACCCGTCACATTCAAGGACCAATGGAGAGGTTCAGGAAGTCGGGGCTAATCTTGAATTTTACTGGGCAATTTAAAACCTGCATCAAACTGCATAGGAACTGAAATCTGTTTTTATTATTATTAATAATAATAACTAGAAAAGCTCCAATTTCTGGGGAAATTGTGTGAAGTGTTCTTGTCTCCACCAGTAGTCTACAACTGGAGTGGGCGGAGTAATGTCACAAACCTTCATTTCCACTATGCTGCTGTGGGGCTCCGGATCCCGAAAGCGTGGGTCTGAAAGGTCGAGTTTAGTCCAGCGTCTCTTTACAGCTTTAGATCTCTTTCCTTTAGATGGCATGATGATATTCACACAGCTCTAATTTCTTTTCATAAATGTAGCTAGTTGAAACACCTCAAATACTCTCTACTGTAGAAAACTTATTTCCAAACCTTTAACCAGAAGCCGGCCAAACTGTCACCAATTCAAAATTAGATTTCAAATAGAGCAGAGAAGAGCGGTTAAAAACAAACTGCTCCAAATTGCTCACTTCACTGGCGTCTTCAAATGGTCGTAGTTTTAAAAATGATAAATACTACACTGAAGAGCTTTATATTGTGAGAATCACAAGACCCAGACCTACATTTTGATGTATAATATGTCTCTGAAATATTAAAAATGAAGGCACAGTCGCAGTTTAGAAATTGCCCTTCAGATTTGAAGTGGCTAGAGTGCAGTTTCAATGAATGTCAATGGGCGGCGTGAGTTGCAAACAAATGGTCATATTGTGAAAACTATCAGGACTATGGTCTTAGCCGTGGACATTTTTAGTGGCAGCAGGGATAGCTGAACGTTTGATATAAGAATTGTGTAGGTGGGCTTGAAAATGAGGGAGTGATGGCAGTTTAGAAATCATGTCCTGATTTTTCAGCTCACACTCTAGCTTTTGTCAGCTGCCACTCTAGTTGCTCCATTCATTCCTATGGGACAAATTTCACCACAAAAACGGCAATATTTCTTGAACCATTTGGCGAAACGTTCCACAAAGTAATAGCACACCAATCGGGAACAATCCGCACGTTTCCGTATATTACTGTCTATGTAGTGTAAAAACTGGGGGAGGAGTTAGCGTGGTAAATTTGGCTATAAGAATATATTTGTGGGATAACAATAAGTGCTCTTGCAAGAACACTTAATAAAAAAAAAAGGCAGAGGGTAAGGGACTAGTCACTAGCATTTTATCCAGTGCTGACTTATGCCCTGTTCTGCACTGTTGTATGGACCATCTTCATGGAGGCAGAGTTTTGCTTCCTCATGTCAGAGCTTCCAGCAAAGAGAACAGTGAGCAGCAAAGTAGTGATTCTCCAAATCTCACTCCGAATCGCGTGAGTTTGGAGTCCGAGGCAGCAGGGCCCTAGATTTTACACTTCAGAATGAGACTGTAGGTACAGCATGCCTAGGCACATTCACATACCAAGAAGTACCTTGGTATTTTTCAGGAGAAATTCAAGACAAAAGGTATTCTTTTAAAGGTACTGCTTGGGCAAAATTAATATCTATACATGTTTCCTATAACATAGGGAACTCCACTTTTTGAGTTTGGCTCCAGTTTAACATCTTATACATTTTTCTCATTGTATGCTTAGTTTTAGTTTGCCTGTCTAGTGACAGGTTCTCTTTAAGTCATTAGTGCTGCCTGGAAATCTACCTTATTTTAATTACCTGTAGTTACTGATGCGTGGAGTTCTACTTCTTTGTAACGCACGGGCTTTGCATTGCAGTATCCTTTTGTTGTTTTTTTTGTCTTTTTTTTTTCTTTTTTCTTTTAATTCTTCAGACCAAAAAAACTTCTGCTTTTATTTTTAGGCCATGCTGACTGTAAGGAAGGAGCCTTTTCCTGTCTTCTATGTGGATTCACAGAAGGAAAACGAGGTTGTATGCCATATTGAATTAACAGCAGTATATGTTTGTTCATGATGTAGAATCGCTAGTGACTGGTTCAGCATGGATGCACATTAACCTCCCTGGCGGTATGATTATTTCAGATTTTTGGTGCTGAAAGCGGTACCATTTTTTTGCATGGAAATATGTATTTTTTTTATTGTAGGCTGTAATTTTTAGGAAAAACTCACTGAAATCTGTCCGAACAAGAGTCTAGTAAACATCCCGGGTATGATAAAATTTGAAACACAAAATCATAAATTATAATTTAATAAATAATCATAAAAATAATATAAAAATAATAAAAAATTTAATTCAATAATATAAATCAAACCAAAAACACTGAAATGTGAAATATAGCGCCAAGTTCGCACATTGCTGAGCAAAGTCGCAAAATCGTTTTCAGTTTCTGATGACGAATTTCCCCCACGAATCATTATCACTCAATTCTGTTAGTGGTTCTGATTTACTATCGCTGTTCTCTAGCTGATCTAAACCGCTTTTGACCTAAAGGGACACTTTTTGGACGCCATGGACATTTCTCAGTTTCCAGGCAGAAAGAACAGACAAAATGCAGGCAGGGCACAGGACAAAGCACTAGGGACAATATGTATGTGAAATAGGTTGAAACAGCAATGTTTTACTGTGTAAAATGAAAAAAAAAAAAAAACAAAATTACATTTTTTAAAATTTTTAAATTTCCCGCCGCCGCCGGCGGCGGCGCCCGTACGTCCCGACGTCACAGGGACAGGACACAGAAGCCGGATGCCGGCATCGGCCGGAGGAGATGGCCAGGGACACATCGTGGGAGCGCAGGGTAAGGTAAGTGAAGAACACATGCCGGAGCAGCGCCGCATGGTATTCCCGAGTGTAGCTCGGGGTTACCGCTTTTGGTACTGAAATGTTACCCCGAGCTACACTCGGGAATACCGCCAGGGAGGTTAACCACATGCCGATCAAATACCACCGAAAGAAAGCTCAATTTGTGGGGAAAAAAAGGATGTAAATTTCATTTATGTACCATATTGCATGACCGCGCAATTGTCCGTTAAACTAGCGCAGCGCTGTATAGCAAAAAAATGGCGTAAATTGCAGTATCTATACCATAGTTTGTAGACGCTATAACTTTCACACAAAGCAATCAATATACACTTATTGGGATTTTTTTTACCAAAAACATGGAGCAGAATACATTTTGGCCTAAATTTATAACCAACTTTGAGTTTACTATATATTTTTAATAGCTGAAAGTAAAAAATATTGTTTTTCTTCAAAATTTTTGGCATTTTTTTGTTTATAGCGTAAAATATAAAAAAGCACACAGGTGATCAAATACCACCGAAAGAAAGCTCTATTTTGTGTGAAAAAAAGGACGTAAATTTTGTTTGGGTGCAGCGTTGCATGACCGCGCAATTATCAGTTGAATTAGTGCAGCGCCGAGTAGCAAAAAGAGGCCTGGTCATTAAGGGGGGTAAATCCTCTGGAGGTCAAGTGGTTAAAGGAGAAGTTCACCTTTTGTAACATGTGATGCCTGTATTTAGGGTTTTACACGTTAAAATAATAGACCCGCTTGAACCCCCCCCCCCCCCCCCCCCCCCCCTTGATCACTAAGCCCTGGCTCACACATATGTGATTTGTTTGCACGGAAACTGATTTGCATGACAGGCCACATAGTATGTGTTGCTATGGAGGTGGTTCACACACATCCGATCCTGTGTGTGTTTTTGGTTGCGTTTCTAAAAGGATTCCTGAGTTTAGAGAGAGAGAAACTGACTCTGAAAAACCTAGGGACAATGCAAATCCAAAAGCGGAGCACTTGCAAAATTGCATCACAAAATGCAAAGGTGTTCAAACACACCGCATGTGATCTGTGGGGAAGAGTTGCTCTAGCAATGCGGAGCGATTTTAAGAACGCATGTATGTGAACCAGGGCTTATTGTGGCAGCGGGAGGGGGATCCTCTCTCTGCATCTGTCACAATTCAAAAACAGCACGGCCATTCATGGCTCCTCCTACATGCCTGCGTCATTATTCAAAGTTTTTGGTGAATGAACAAACTGCAAGAACCGTCTGCCATTGCAGAAGACCGCTTGTAGTTGTAAATGATCTGTACAGGCTCTGGTGGGTGCAATGCTTTATAGGCAGCAATATGAAAAAAAAAAAAATAATAAATGCACTTTTTTTTTTTACCTGCAAAAAGATGTGCTATTATTATTATTAATAATAACTAGAAAGTCTACAATTTCTGGGGAAATTGTGTGAAGTGTTCTTGCCTCCACCAGTAGTCTACAACTGGCGTGGACGGAGAAACTGGGTGGAGTGGCTTGAGTAAATATTAAAAATGATGGCACAGTCGCAGTTTAGAAATTGCCCTTCAAATTTGAGGTGGCTAGAGTGCAGTTTCAATGAATGTCAATGGGCGGCGTGAGTTGCAAACAAATGGTCATATTGTGAAAACTATCAGGATTCCTCCATTCATTCCCATGGGACCAATTTCACCACAAAAACGCCGATATTTCGTGAACCATTTGGCAAAACATTCCACAAAGTAATAGCACACCAATCGGGAACAATCCGCACGTTTGGTATATTACTGTCTATGTAGTGTAAAAACTGTGGGAGGAGTTAGGGTGGGAAATTTTGGCTATAATAAGAAGAATATATATGTGAGATAACAGTAAGGTCTTGCCATGCAAGAACACTTAATATTTTCCTTTTATATTTAAAAAAAAAAAAAAAGTTAGCCTTCAAATGTGTATAGTACCAGACATACTCATCTGTTTTCAGTAGCTATATGAATATAGAAGTGCAGCACTAAAATCGCATAAATATTGAGGCAGCGCTGTGTCCTGCCATGGTCGAAATCAAGCTTCTAACCCTGGATTCTCAACCAGGCATGTTGAGGGGCTCCAGAGGGTTGATGTAATGCACAGGAAACTGGCTTTTCGGTTTCCTCATTCATAAAGTCCATTTTGGGACCTGTGTCCAGGAGATTTCTAAGTGATCTGGGAGGGATGAAATCTCCAATCCGGGGTCCATGTTTTCAGAACCCCCAGCACACTGATTGCACAGGTATGTGCAGGCCTTTTCATAGAGGCCTAACCATGATTCTGGGCTCCATCTCGGCAGACAGGAGGTCACTGCCTTGGAGTCAGGTGGGCTTCACCTACGAGAGGTGGAAGCCAGAGGAGCTGTGTGCTAGTGGCCAGCTGTGTGCGAAACAACCATTTTGGAAAGAGTTTGCAGGAGTCAGACGTAAATGTGTACAAGCCAGGAGGCTGAATATTTGTTGCATTTGTTTGATGGTGGATACCCCTGCGTGGGAAGCATGTTATTGACCTTTAAATAAAATTGGGCTTAAAGGCCTTTAAAAAAAAAAGAAAAAAAAAAAAAGAAGAAGCGAGTTGCTGTGTGCTTTAAAAAGAAGCTCTACCATTTTGATGAGTTCCCACAATATATAAAGTGGAACAGTACAGTGCAGCATATAAGAATAAATAGCCTTGCGTATGTAAAATTCAAGAAAACAATAAATCATGTCCACAAGTAAAAAGTAGTAATCTGTGCAGTAAAGTGCAATATAGTGAATAAATGCTAGGGTCCGTGACTGCATATATCAAAATAATCAATAATATACATCCAGCGTATTTCATTCATAAAAACGTCCTTAACCACCTCCCGCCCGCCATATAGCCCAATGACGGGCGCAAGGTGGTTCTCGTATTCTGGGAGGATGTCATATGATGTCCTCCCATTCTCACCGGGCATGCGCGGCTCAGGGAGCGCGCAGCGCTGCAATCGGCGGTGCGCTGTGTCCCTCGGACACAGCAGATCACCGATCACGGAAAGAGACGAAGATGTCGGCTCGGTCATGTGATCAGCTGTGTCCAGATATAGCTGATCACATGTAAATAGGGAAATGCCGGTTATCTGCATTTCTCTTCTTGAGAGGAGAGACGTAATCGGCTTTCTGCAGAGGGGACATGTACACTGATCATCAGGGCACTGATGATCAGTGTAGCTCCAGCAGTGCCACCTGTCAGTGTCCATCAGTGCCTCGTGTCAGTGCCACATCAATGCCACATATCAGTGCCTACCAGTGCACATCAATGCCACATATCAGTGCCCATCTGAGCTGCCTTTCAGTGTCACCTATCAGTGCCAGTCAGTGCCACCTTTCAGTGCCCATCAGTGATGCCTGTCAATGCCCCTCAGTGCCCATCAGTGCCACCTATCAGTGTCTATCAGTGCAGCCTATCAGTGCCCACCACTGCAGCCTCATTAGCGTATATCAGTGAAGGAGAAAAATCACTTATTTACAAATTTTATAACAAAAAAGTAAGAAAAAAATTTTTTTTACAACATTTTCAGTAAGTTTTTGGTTTGTTTAAGAAAAAATAAAAAACCCCGAGGTGATTAATTACCACCAAAATAAAGCTCTATCTGTCACAAACAAATGATAAAAATGTCATATGGGTACAGTGTTGCATGACCGCGCAATTGTCATTCAAAGTGTGACAGCACTGAAAGCTGGAAATTGGCCTGGGCAGGAAGGGGGTATAAGTGCCCTGTAGGCGAGGGGTTAAGTAGATTATGTGCAAAATCGCCAAGTGCAGAGTGTGAATGTGTGAATATTCACATATGGAATCCACCACCTTGGACGGATGTACGCTCCCCAGAAGATATACAATATATGGCGTATATCACATCGTGTCACATCTGGAGGTGCATCGGCAGCCGAGGGGTTAATCCTGCTGTATCATCCGGGTGTAGATGGAATAGGAATCCCTTGTCCTAGGGAAATACCACAGGAGCCAAGAGTACTAATATAGTGTAGTATTTTATTATTGCATTAAAATGTCATTTCCATATATTCCACGTGGAGTAAAAAGGATACAGATACCAAAATGGCTGCCGTTCCGTCCTGCGGCGGCGAGACGTCAGCAATGTAGGCTCCACCTATGTACACGGACACATAGGAAAACATTAGGGGGAGTTCAGGGGCTGCTGAAAAAAAAAACTCAACAGCTCCTGAAAGTCAGTTTAGCAGCTGCAGTGTACATGAGCCCTAAGTGGTCAGTCAGGAACCGTAAGGATGGAGAATGCTGAATGTCTTCAGCCATGACAATGGCGCAGCCTGCTTGTGACTTTCTGTAGCTTCTGATGCACACTATGAGAAACTTGCAGTGTGCAGTGAAATCCGAGTAAGCGAATTCAGTTCAGGAAAGGAGCCTGTACAGCTGTAGACTGAAGGCAAGGCTGCTGGTGTTCTGCTTTTTGCAGACATAACTATATACTATTTCTGATTTTACATTTTTGAAGTATTTACAGACTTGTGACCAAAAGAGTTCTGTCATCACCTACTAACCGATTTGTGTCTTTTGTGTTCTTGCTTTTAACTGCACAGCACGAATATTGCAAAAATGTCTTTGTATCTTCGCTGTGGTGGTCTTGCTAACCTTGGGTTTTGTCCTTTTTATGCAGAGATGGGATGTGATCTCCAAGTCTCAGCTGAAGAACGTTAAGAAGCTCTTCAACCGAGAACTGGCAAAGAATGAGGCCAAAGAGAAGAAAGAGGTGAGAACAAATCTGTGCTGTGATGATCTGTATTCTTGGGACGTTTTCACACCAACATGTTGAGCTGTGTTAAAGTGGTTGTAAACCCTCACATATACCCAGTGAAGTGTCTGGTTTCCGGTGATACACAGAGATGAAACAAATCCTCCTGCATAAGTTGTACCTGTTTATCTGCTGCCATCTTTTCTCTACATCTGTTCAAAGTCCAAAATGTATACAGCTTGTCTGAGCTTTAGAAAGCAGGGTGTGGGAAGCTGAAGTTACACTCTGCGGAGCTTATTGAGAGCTGATTGGAGAAAAGGGACATAACCCCCTTCACACAGAACAGAGCTGAGGCTGTCAATCACAGACTGTGTGCTGGAGCTCTCTGCCATCACCTTTTTTCTTTTGGTGTCAGGAAAACTTGTCAGAAATGACTTGTGCAGATAGCAGAGGAACAAGATCTGTGGGCAGATCAATGCAGGCTCACCACGAGAACACATGGAAAACAATTGTTTTCTAAGCGACCTTTTCACATGAAAATACTGGGTTAAGGTGGATTGCAATGCGTTGGGTAATAATGCAGACATGCATTGTTTCGTACTGCACTGCACGGTATCTCATGTCAGCGCATATCACTGCAGCAGAGCTGTTGCCCATAGAGGGGAAAAGAATAAAGTAAAGTTTGGTAAAAAAAAGTAAACAGTGCTTTGCATGGTGACAACACAAGGCACCGCCCCCCTCACAGCCGTTACACGAGGTACATCTGCCTGCAATGGCCTGTTGTAGCATGCAGGCTGGTGTGAATGAGCCCCTAAAATGTAAGAATGCCCCCCCCTTTGCAGCGGTGGTCAGTGGGAAGAATGCCCCCCCTTTGCAGCGGTGGTCAGTGGGAAGAATGCCCCCCCTTTGCAGCGGTGGTCAGTGGGAAGAATGCCCCCCCTTTGCAGCGGTGGTCAGTGGGAAGAATGTCCCCCCTCCCCCTTTGTAGCGGTGGTCAGTGGGAAGAATGCCCCCCCTTTGCAGCGGTGGTCAGTGGGAAGAATGTCCCCCCTTTGCAGCGGTGGTCAGTGGGAAGAATGCCCCCCCTTTGCAGCGGTGGTCAGTGGGAAGAATGCCCCCCCCTCCCTTTGCAGCGGTGGTCAGTGGGAAGAATGTCCCCCCCTCCCTTTGCAGCGGTGGGCAGTGGGAAGAATGCCCCCCCTCCCTTTGCAGCGGTGGGCAGTGGGAAGAATGCCCCTCCTTTGCAGAGGTAGTCAGTGAGAAGAATGCCCCCCCCTTTGCAATGGTGGTCACTGAGAAGGATGCCCCCCCCCTTTGCAGCGCTACTCAGTGAGAAGAATGCCCCGCCCAATTACAGCACTGATCAGTGAGAAGAATGCCCCCCCATTACAGCGCTGATCAGTGAGAAGAATGCCCGCCCATTACAGCGCTGATCAGTGAGAAGAATGCCCCCCCCCCATTACAGCGCTGGTCAGTGAGAATGCCCCCTCTGCAGCGGTGGTCAGTGAAAAGAATGCACCCCCCCCCCCCCCTTACAGCGGTGGCTAGTGAATGCTGCCCCCCCCTCCCTCTTGCCTTGTTGGACAGTGGGAAGAATGCCCCCCCTCTTCTTGCAGCAGTGGTCAGTGAGAAGAATTCCCCCCCCCCCCCCCCCCCCCCACAGCGATGGTCAGTGAGAGGAATGCCCCCCCCTTTGCAGCATTAGTCAGTGGGAAGAATGCCCCCCCTTCCAATGAATGCCCCCCCCTTTTATTTGCAGCAGTATCATGTGTTGTCTTTTACAGGGGGTGCTTTATAGGCACCATCAGACAGGAGATCAGTGAGCTACATCTCATGGAACCCCCAGCAGTCTGTGGAGGAACCTTTACCTTTATATACCTTATAAATTTGCCTTTAACTCTGCGCATTTCATTGTCGCACACAGGCCGAGGACAACATGAGACGTGAAAAAAATCTTGAGGAAGCCAAGAAGATCATCGTCGAAAATGATCCCAACCTTCCAGAGCCAAAAACAGTAAGATCTTTATTTGCTAAATCCAGTCACATGTTAGAGAAAATCTTTGTTGCCCACAGTAATCAGAATATCCATTTGTACTATGGGAGAGGAAATGGGGGATATGATTGGCTTCCATATTTTCTTAGCTGAAACTTGTGAGCTTAGTGTTTGCAAAGGTTCATTTTTTTTTTTTTATAAATAACAAACATGTCATACTTACCTGCACAGAGTTTTGCACAGAGCAACCCTGATCCTCTTCTTCTTGGGTCCCCTGCTGGGGCTCCTGGCCCCTCCCCCTGCTGAGTGTGAGTGCCCCCATAGCAAGCTATTTTCTCTGGGGGCACTCGTGTGTGTGCTTGCTCCTGAGCTGCCTTTGTGTGTCTGAGGCGTGGCTTAGCCCCTCCCCCACTCACTTCTCAATGGCTCCTTCTGCTGTGTCTCAGCCAATGAGGCCGCAGAGACCCAGATGAGCTTCTGCTCTTGTTCACATCGCTGGATCAGATTCAGGCTCAGGTGAGTATTGAGGGGTGGGAGGGGGGCTGCACATTGAAGTTTTTTAACCTTTGTGCATGGAATGCATGAAGGGGGGAAAAAAACCTTTGCGCATGGAATGCATGAAGGGGGGAAAAAAAACCCTTTGTGCATGGAATGCATGATGGGGTTAAAAAACCTTCAGCCTTTAGAATGACTTTAAGGTGGACGTACTGAGAGAAATGTGGAGACTGCCATTGCTGACCTCCTTCTGTAAATGCTGACTGTCTCTGGCTTCAGTACTGAGAAGGTGAGATGGAATGAGCAAGGAGGATCAGTACAGCCAGGGAACTAGTATTTTCAGAAGTACAGGTCAGTAATGGAAGTCCCTGTACTGCTCCACTGCAGATAAAGTGGAACTCCAGGCAGACCGCTAGAGACATGGGTACAATATTTTATTTTGTTCAGCCAGTCTTGTGGTCCCAATACTCCCAGTACACGGCATAGTCAGGTAACAATCTTGTTTGAGCTTTGGAGAAAAAAACTGCTGTTGGCGCAGATGTAAATCGCCTTATGTCCCAGCACTGCTCTGTTTTTTTTCCATTACACTGGTTTGGTTTTTGCACAGTTTAGATTTGGGCCACGTCATAAGAATGATTTTATTTGCTCCCTTTGTAGTCTGTTGAATGTACAGTATCCCCCAGAAGTGAGTACACCCCTCACATTTTTGTATATATTTTATTCTATCTTTTCATGTGACAACACTGAAAAAATGACACTTTGCTACAATGTGACGTAGTGAGTGTACAGCTTGTATAACATGTAAATTTGTTGTTCCCTCAAAATAACTCAACACAGCCATTAATGTCTAAACCGCTGGCAACAAAAGTGAGTCCACCCCTAAGTGACCATGTCCAAATTGGCCATGGCCCAATTTTCCCTCCCCGCTGTGACTCGTTAGTGTTACAAGGTCTCAGGTGTGAATGGGGAGCAGGTGTGTTAAATTTGGTGTTATCGCTCTCATTCTCTCATACTGGTCACTGGAAGTTCAACATGGCACCTCATGGCAAAGAACTCTGAGGATCTGAAAAAAAAAAGGAGCGGAAGAGGACTCCAGTGGCAACCTGTGAAGCTCTGGTGAACTCCATGCCCAAGAGGGTTAAGGCAATGCTGGAAAATAATGGTGGCCACAGAAAATATTGACACTTTGGGCCCAATTGGGACATTGTCACTTAGGGGTGTACTCACTTTTGTTGCCAGCGGTTTAGACATTAATGGCATTGTAGCAAAGTGTCATTTCTTCAGTGTTGTCACATGAAAAAGTAGAATCAAATATATACAAAAATGTGAGGGGTGTACTCCCTTCTGGGGGATACTGTATATAGTGTTTTTTGTTCATGCAAATAAATATCTGTTGATACTGCCAGGAATCTAGCTCTGTCCTATGCCTTCTGCACTCTTTTCTCCAGCATTATCGGGAAGTATATTAGGGCTAGAGAACATCTTCCCCCTGTGTTAGCAGTTCCAGTTCTAAGGTGTTGATGCTAATTGCTCATAGATCTAGTACAGAGAGTTGTCATCCTAGGACAGGAAGAGTGTTTTCTGGCAGGGCTAAACCCAAATGTGGTGTTCCTAGAAAATATATAAATAGTTTATATTGTTTCATTGTCTGTCTTCTGGTATTTTTTTTTTCCAACACAATTACTTCATTTGTATTACAGTTGAAGATTCGAGAGTTGGAAGCTTATCGTGGTCAGAGAGTAAAAGTCTTTGGCTGGGTCCATAGACTGCGTAGGCAAGGTATACATGTCCATTTCCATAGCCAGTTTTAAATATACCGTATTTTTCGCTCCATAAGACACACCTAGATTTTAGAAGAGGAAAACAAGAAAAAAAAAATTCTGAACCAATGGACTGCGGACGTAGTACAGGAGATGACCAGAGACTGCGGACACAGTACAGGGGATGACCAGAGACTGCGGACGTAGTACAGGAGATGACCAGAGACTGCGGATGTAGTACAGGGGATGACCAGAGACTGCGGACGTAGTACAGGGGATGACCAGAGACTGCGGACGTAGTACAGGGGATGACCAGAGACTGCGGACGTAGTACAGGGGATGACCAGAGACTGCGGACGTAGTACAGGGGATGACCAGAGACTGCGGACGTAGTACAGGGGATGACCAGAGACTGCGGACGTAGTACAGGGGATGACCAGAGACTGCGGACGTAGTACAGGGGATGACCAGAGACTGCGGACGTAGTACAGGGGATGACCAGAGACTGCGGACGTAGTAACAGGGGATGACCAGAGACTGCGGACGTAGTACAGGGGATGACCAGAGACTGCGGACGTAGTACAGGGGATGACCAGAGACTGCGGACGTAGTACAGGGGATGACCAGAGACTGCGGACGTAGTACAGGGGATGACCAGAGACTGCGGACGTAGTACAGGGGATGACCAGAGACTGCGGACGTTGTACAGGGGATGACCAGAGACTGCGGACGTTGTACAGGGGATGACCAGAGACTGCGGACGTAGTACAGGGGATGACCAGAGACTGCGGACGTAGTACAGGGGATGACCAGAGACTGCGGACGTAGTACAGGGGATGACCAGAGACTGCGGACGTAGTACAGGGGATGACCAGAGACTGCGGACGTAGTACAGGGGATGACCAGAGACTGCGGACGTAGTACAGGGGATGACCAGAGACGGCGGACGTAGTACAGGGGATGACCAGAGACGGCGGACGTAGTACAGGGGATGACCAGAGACGGCGGACGTAGTACAGGGGATGACCAGAGACGGCGGACGTAGTACAGGGGATGACCAGAGACGGCGGACGTAGTACAGGGGATGACCAGAGACGGCGGACGTAGTACAGGGGATGACCAGAGACGGCGGACGTAGTACAGGGGATGACCAGAGACGGCGGACGCAGTACAGGGGATGACCAGAGATTGCGGACCTTTGGGGGAGGGGGCCCCGGGGGCGGGTACCCAAATTTGACAGGTACCTGTTCCCACTTCTGAGGAGTTGTCCTCCCCCCCTCCCTCCCTGTAGTCTTGTGGGACATGTGACAGTCATGTGACAGGTCCCACAAGACTAAGAGGCCATTCACAAAGCGCAGCGCTTCTCCCACATGCGCAGTGGGCACCCGGCTGTGAAGCCGCAAGCTGTCACAGCTGGGTGCCCACACTGAAGATGCTGGCACCAGGGAGAGAAGACATCCGTTGGACCGAGGAACAGGTAGGATGGAGGAGCGGGTTCTGCTGCACAATAGAGCCAAGCGGCCGGCCCGGTATTCTAACACTGCGGTGGCAGCAGGAATACCGGGCCGTCTGCTCCATATTCGCTCCATAAGACGCAAAGACATTTTCCCCCCATTTTTTGGGGAGAAAAAAGTGCATCTTATAGAGCAAAAAATACAGTACTTGGTCAATTTTCAGACCTGCCAAGTGTGTTCTGTAATATTGCCAAGTTGTTTTGCTGTCTCTATAACTTCATTTCAGAGCTTGTGGGATCTGAGCCAACGTAGTCCCAGCACTGAGAGGGAGCAACCTCCTTTCAATTCTGTTCTGGCCAATTTTCCTTCAGGGTTTTTGCACGCCACCTTTCCTGTTTCTGGCCTGTTATTGCCTTGACCCCCGATCTTTAGCCTGACCTGCTTGGGTGGTTTTACTATAAACTCCCATCCGTATAACTTTCTGGGTCATAACTGGGCATGCATTCCTAAATAAGGGGGTGAGATATGGGAAATGGTAGATTTTAAGAGCTTATGTTCAAGAGATCCAGTTGAATAGAAAGTGTGAAAAAAAATGTTTTCTCTTTTTTTATTATGAATCTGTTTTTTTTAGGATTTAATAGGAAAATGGAAGATAAACTTTACTCCCAGCCCCGCACCCACCTAATACAAATGGCTTAAATAATAATATGACACTCATGCAATGGACCAAGAAAGTTGTTTTTTTTTTCTATTTGTTTATTGGCTTTTTAAGCCATTCTGTATGGTAGTAAACTTCACTTTTTTTTTTTTAATGGGCCCCCCCTGCATGATTTGCTAGTGTGCACCGCATACTAGCACATTATGATATACTTACCTTTAAAACAGAGCTTTCCAACTCTGGGCTGTCACCTCCCCTGGCACTTCCGTCTTTGCCCAGTCCTCCTTCAGGGGTCTTGTTCTGACCGTTTGAATGGCCAGGCAACAATAATGTCTTTCCCACGCATGCGCACAGGAGACACCATCGCAGCATGCACTGTCCCAGGGCACACTCAGTTTGTCGTGAATGCAGAGCTACAGTACTTGCACCAGCGATGTCAGCTGGAGCCGATGTAAATATCTTCTAAATGGTGTGAGTATAGGAGATATTCACAGTAACTACAGATAAGACTTACCTGTAGGCAGGACTCCACAAATCCCAGGCGCCAGGTTGCCATGGACACTAGACATTGCGTCCTGGCACCTGGGCTTTTGTTAGCCATTGGCTGTCAGGCACTGGGACGCTGCTTCACTGATCCAGGGATTTCAAATTCCTGACGCTTATTCTCCTCTTTGTACCTCTCAGTGTAAGAGGCATTCTAATTGGTCAGCACCGTAACATGGACAGCATTGACCAATCAGATTCCATCTAGGCCAGGGATGTCAAACTGGCGGCCCTCCAGCTGTTGCAAAACAAGTCCCATCATGCCTTTGCCTTTGGGAGTCATGCTTGTAACTGTCAATCTTGCAATGCCTCATGGGACTTGTAGTTTGGCAACAGTTGGAGGGCTGCCAGTTTGACATCCGTGATCTAGGCTGTCCTGTCAACTCTGCGAGTAGAGGAGAGAAAGCCGCAGGGATTTCCAATTCATAGACTGGTGAAGTGGCGTCCCAGTGCCTGACAGCGGGGATCATGGGACACTGGGACAGCAGGACCAGGACCGTGGGGTCCAGTGTAAGGTCACCTTACAAATTTTCTGTAAAGGTGAACGTACACTTTTAAAGTGTTATCCCGGCCCTCCTACATAGCTAGCTATTCTTTTCTTTTTTTTTCCTTTTCTTTTCTCTTTTTCTCGGGCAGCAGTTTTAAAACAAACTGGCTCCCTAGATTCAAAGCAAATTTGTCAAGCCCTGCCTGTAGGTAAATGTTTAAACTGTGGGTTTACTATCGCTTGAAGCCCTGGTTCACACTGAATGCGACTTTGAAACCGCACTACTTCACTTAAAGTGTGATTTCAATGCCACAGGTCTGTGTGTTTTCAGGAGCGACTTGCCTGCCTGCTACATGCACAGATATCTATGCAAGTCGCACCTGAAATCACTGTGCAGGCACTATTTTCAGAGCAACTCCGTTTTCGTCTCACCAATTTCTACGGTTTCCTGGCTGACAATAAGGTGACACTTGTCATATGATTTGGAACTGTCAAAGCGCATGACAAGTCGCACGGTGTGAACCGAGGGTTAAACCAAATAGCATACGAAGTTTATCAAAATTACAATTAAACACTCACCAGCCACTTTATTAGGTACACCTTGCTAGTACCAGGTTGGACCGCCTTTTACCTTCAGAGCTGCCTTAATTCTTCGTGGCATAGATTCAGTAAGGTGTTGGAAACACTCCTCAGAGATTTTGATCCATATTGACATGAGCTACTGTTGCCTTTCTATCATCTCGAACCAGTCTGCCCATTCTCCTCTGACATCAACAAGGCATTTTCATCCACACAACTGCCGCTCACTGGATCTTTTCTCTTTTGAAAATCCCAGTAGATCAGTTTTTGAAATATTTGGAACAGCCGTCTGGCAACAAACAACCATGCCATGTTCAAAATCACTTAAATTCCCTTTCTTCCCCATTCTGATGCTCGATTTGAACTGCAGCAAGTCGTCTTCACCACAGTTAGATGCCTAAATTTGTGATGCCAAGCAATTGAACAGATGTACCTAATAAAGTGGCCACAGAGTGTATTTACTGTTTTAAGTTCTGTTTAAAATACATTTTCACACCTTTTCTTTCTTTCTCTTAGGCAAGACTTTAATGTTCGTGGTGCTCCGGGATGGCACAGGATACCTTCAGTGTGTCCTTAGCGATAAATTGGTGAGTTTCTAGCCTCAGTCTTTACCAGTGTTAATTCTTTTATTCTTTTGCTTTCAAGAGAGCTTTTGTATAACATACTCTGCTTCTATACTTACTTTAATGTATGTTAGTGTGACCCAATCATTTTAAATGTATATCTTTCTTTTCAGTGCCAGTGCTATAATGGACTTGTCCTATCTACTGAAAGCACAATTGCTGTATATGGGACCCTGGACCTGCTACCAGAGGGAAAACAGGTATGAAACTACAAGCCAATCAGCACAGATAGAATGTAAAACAAAAGTTATTTATTAAAGTCCATTTGAAAGCATTGCTTGACAGTTACAAAAAAAACACACTCCTCAGGATGATACATTTTAACCACTCAGATCTTTAACCGCTTGCCCACCGCCCTATAGTAGAAGTGTACTGCGGCAGGGCTGCACAAAATCACATGTTTATATGCGTGATTTGCATTTCCTGGTAGTGCATGCTGCCCTACCTGCGCCGCCATTAGCAGCTAAAGATGTCAATCGCCGGGTCCCAGCTGGCGATTCCTCGCCGGCACTTGGTGATCATCTGTGAAAGCTGACAGGGGAGAGAGACCTGTGTGTAAACAACACAGGTCTCTCTCTCTCCTGTCAGCAAGGACATGCTGCTTTGTATTTCTCTGCACAGCAGAGAAATACAAAGCAGCATGTCTCTGTTGTAAAACAGCACATAATGTGAAACACACACAGCACAGTTAACCCTTTGATTGCCCCAGATGTTAACCCCTTCCTGCCCAGTGTCAGTGCTTTTTATTAGCACTGATCACTGTATTGGTGTCACTGGGGATGTCAGTGGCAGTTAGTCAGTTCCCACCCAGTGTCAGAATGCCCACCTCAGTCCTGCTATAATCACTAATATAATCGCTAATCACCACCATTGCTAGTATAAAAAATAAAAATTACAGTATATATGCCGGCATTTGTAAACGCTATAACTTTCACGGAAACCAATTCATTTACATGTATTGGGATGTCTTCCTTTTTTTTTTTTTTTTTTTTTTTTTTTTTTTTTTTTTTTTTTTAATAAAAGACATGTAGCAGAATAAATTTGATGAAATTTGATTTAAAAAGAAACAAACTATTTACTGGATAGGTTTTATAACAGAAAATCTAAAATATTGTTTTTTGTTTTGTTTTTTCAAAATTGTTTTTGTTTTCTATCACAAAAAAGTAAAAAACCCACAGGTGATCAAATGCCACTGAAAGAAAGCTCCATTTGTGGGGGGGAAAAGGACGTAAATTTCATTTGGGTACAGCGTTGCATGACCGCACAATTGTCAGTTAAAGTAATGCAGCGCCTTATCGCAACAAATGGCCTGCTCAGGAAAGGGGGTAAATCCTCTGGAGAGCAAGTGGTTAATCAAAGAGAATTGATAAAGATGAGTAGGCCTAAAGCAGGCTATACACAATACATTCTGATTGTACAATCTCATTCAGATGTACCAACAACCCTGGCAGCCCAACAGCCATTTGAAGGATCACACATGGCAGGCTGGCAATATTGTTGCTTCTTGCCAGGAAGTGGTTTAACCATTTGCCGCCCGCCCTATGGCCGAATGGCGGGCAGCAAATGTCATCAGCGTTCTGGGTGGACACCATATGGCGTCCTCCCGCACATGCGCAGACTGTGCTCCTGCAGAGCGGCGCAGCGGCGCGATCTGTCACTGGCCGTGTACCACAGCAGGTCACATGACAGTTGTATACAATGGATGGCTTCATTCATGCCATCCATTGTATACTAGTGTCTAGCTGTGAATGGTCACAGCTAATCACATGCACATGTCATGTGATTAGCTGTGGTCAAATCACAGCTAAGCGCAAAAAAAAAAAAAAAAAACCATGAATGAATCGATGTCATTCAGGTAAATGCTTGCTTATAGCAAAGTAATTCTTTGCTGTAAGCAAATTATGTAAAAAAAAAAAAAATACTGATCACTTCCCCAAAGTAGTACAATGTTACTATGGTAACATTGTACTACTTTGGTCATAGTGAAATATGAAAAAAAAAATCTTAAAAAAAAGAAAAAAAAATTTAATAAAAAAAAAAAATATATATATATTTTTTTTCATACTGTCACCAGTGTCCCTGATCACCGCCATGACAGTTATATGATGACGCTGTACTGCACTGGTGACAATATGTAAAAAAAAAAAAAAAAATAGTGAAACTAATTTTTTTAATTTTTTAATTTTCTGAAAAATTATGACAAAAAAAATACAACTTCAAAAAAACTCGCCATGCCTCTTATGAAGTACGTCGGACTGTCTACTCTGCAAAAAGGGGTCATTTGGGGGATATCTGTACTGTTCTGACATTCTTGGACCTCAAGAAATTAGATTGGCTGTCAGTACTTCAGGATTGATCAATATTCAGATCTATACCATAGTTTGTGAACTCTATAACTTTCCTACAAACTAAATAATACATCCTAATTTGGGTTATTTTCACCAAAGACATGTAGTAGAATACATCTCGGCCTAAATTTATGAAGAACAATTATTTATTTGCAAACTTTTATAACCGAAACAAACAATTTTTTCAAAATTTTCGGTCTTTTTTTGTTAATTTAGCAAAAAATAAAAACCCCAGTGGTGATTAAATACCACCAAAAGAAAGCTCTAGTTGTGTGAAGAAAATGATAAAAATTTAGTTTGGGTACAATGTTGTATGACCGCGCAATTGTCATTCAAAGTGAGAGAGCGCTGAAACCTGAAAAATGGCCTGGGCAGGAAGGTGTAAAATTGCCCGGTATTGAATTGGTTAACTTTGCCTGCAATAGAAAGTGATATTACTGGCAGGATCCTCAGGTAAGAGACTAAACAGATTCACAAAAAATGATTTGCCTAAGAAAACTGTATACTTTGAGGCATGAAGGCAAACTTACTGAAAAATAGATCTAGGGTTCACATACGCTTTAATAGTACCTACTTGCAGTCAGCCCCTGTAAAATCATTTACTCCCCTACATGTAAGGATTGTGTGTTTGACCTTTTCGTATACATGTTAGTTTTACACTTGTCTTTATCTGTTTTACAGGCCCCAGGAGGACATGAACTGGCCTGTGATTACTGGGAGTTGATTGGTCTAGCCCCTGCCGGAGGAGCCGATAACCTTCTAAATGAAGAATCTGATGTGGACGTCCAGCTGAACAATCGTCATATGATGATTCGTGGAGAGAACATGTCCAAAATCTTCAAAGTTCGTTCCACGGTTATCCACTGCTTTAGAAGTCACTTCTTTGACCGTGGCTACTACGAGGCAAGTTAATCTGTCATTTTAAGATATACTTGTTGTATAAACTACATGATAGTCTTTCCCTTTGAATCTTCAGCTCATTTTGCTGGAGTGAGGGTAAACCTCTGTGGTTTGATTTTACTAAAGATGTTGAGAATCTTCACTCAAGAAATTGTGAGAGTATTCACTTCAGTTATCCAATCATGTCAATTACATCTGCAAATGATTGAACAGGAATTTACGTGACTGGATAAATAATGGGAGTATTTGCATTTTTGAGTTAAGATTCTTATATTCCTTTTTTTAAGTGTTATGAAACCCTTAAAAAAAAAAAAAAAAAGGAGCATAGTTTTTAAAGGGTAACTCCACTTTTGTGGGGGGGGAAACATAAATAATATCTATAATTTTGACACAAGTCATATTGTAATTGAATGTTATTGAAAATTACCTTTCCTTTTCAATCTACAGCGCTGTAATTTTTTGTAAAATGCAATGTGGCTACTTGGAGGTGTTCTGTATACAGAAAGGGTACAGAACGCCCCCAGAAACATAATTTCCTGTTTGTGTGATTTGGCTTACTGGTTTTTCCAGACGTCTGCACTAAGATACGAATGTCAGGCATCCCCTGCAACAAAAATGTCATTTTTGGTGAGTTGCTCCAAATAGGGAATCACGTTTCAAGGGATGCAGACCCTTGAGCTTTGCAGGTCCAGCAGCTCATTGATAATTATGAAAACACTCCCATACAGATTCCCACAAACAGCTATTTCTTCAGAACAACAAAATTTAGAAATCTGGAGAAGTTTGTTAAAATCCTTGCAAAGTACATAGATCACCCAGAGGGGGAATGTGTTTTGTTGAGAAAAAAAAAAAAAAGTGCAGTTACTCTTTAAATCATTGTCCTGTTTTTTTATGTGCAGTCTTTGCAGCATAATGAGCCTCTGAACATTTGGTGTGCTTCATTTTTGCCTATAGGGTGGTTCCTTTTGCCTTCTAGGGTCTCCCTGGAGGCCATTTGTAGCCACCGTAACCACTTGTGGACCGCCCACTCACAGTGTGCTGCTGACGGGCGGCCCGTGCAGGTAAAGTGACGTTCTGGTATGTCGCTGCCAGCTTCTGGGTTTAGAGCGGTCGCATGTGCGCCTTTCCTCGCCAACACCTTCTGTGATTGTACACAGCAGGGAGTCTGTCAGCATGTCATGGTCAGGACCAACTGATCTTCTGTGTCCAATCACAGTCCAGAGCCCTGCACTGCCAATCAACACAGGGCTGTGTACAGAGGGAACGATTTCTCTATTTTTAATCCCTGCTTCGCAGGGAAGAGAATCAAAAAGATCTATTAGTAAAAGCAGCACATATTCCACACATTACGCATTTTTAGGCACATATAACCACTTGATTGCCCTAGATGTTAACCCCTTGCCAGCCAGTGTCATTAGTACAGTGACAGTGTTTAGTATCATCACTGTATTAGTGTCACTGGTGATATCAGGTACAGTTGGTTCCCCTCCAGCGTTAGTTTGTGTCAGATTGCCCGCCGTAATATTGCAGTTCCAGTATAAGTTGCTAATTTGGCATTGCTGGAAGTTGATCAAAAAAGTGGAAATTGCAGTTCTATGTTTCTAAAAGTAAAATAATGCACCTAGGGAGAAAGAGTCCCTTGAGAGTGTACAACATTGGGGGTAAAGTGTTGGCCAGCACCACAAAGGATAAGGACTTGGGGGTACTTATTTCAAATGATTGCAAATTTAGCAAACAATGGGGCCAGGCAGTGGGGAAAGCAAATAGAATTCTAGGATGCATCACTAAAGGGGTCACCAGCAGAAGGAAGGAGGTCCTGATTCCCCGATATACAGTAGATCTTTAGTTAGACCTCATATGGAATATTGTGTCCAGTTCTGGAGAACTCACAAAAAGATATTGATCAGATAGAACGAGTCCAGAGACGGGTAACAAAAATGGTGAAAGGTCTGGGAGATAAAACATATCAAGAGCGACTTCAGGAACTTGAAATGTACAGTCTGGAGGAAAGAGGGGAAAGTGGATACATGATTGAAACCTTTAAATACATCAAGGGGGTGAATAAGGTTCAGGAGGGCAGTATTTTCAACAGGAAACCAAAATCAAGAACACGGGGACATGACCTTAAACTAACTGGAGGAAAGTTCAAAACTAATCTCAGTAAGTATTATTTTACTGAAAGAGTAGTTGATGCTCGGAATAGACTTCCAGCAGAGGTAGTGAGCCAGTCAACAGTAAATAGCTTCAAACATGCATGGGACAAGCATAGATCTATACAAAAAAGTTAAAACAAAAACTAAAAAAAAAAAGAAAAAAAAAAAAAGGTAGAATCAATGGACCTTTTTTCTGCCGTCCCTTTTTCTAGGTTTCTAATCACCGCCATTAGTAGTATAAATGTATAATGTAGTAATATAATTATTTAGTTTTTAGACGCTATAACTTTGACGCAAACCAATCAATATTCGCTTATTGGGGATTTTTTTTATATCAAAGACATGAAACAGAATACATTTTGCCCAAAATGTATTTAAACATTTGATTGTTTGTTTATCTTTTATTGGATATGTTTTATAGCCGAAAGTAGAAAAAATATAGCTTTTTTTTTTTTTTTTTTTTCTTTCCAAAATTTTCAGGCTTTTTTCATTTGTCACAAAAAGTTAAATCCCAGTGAGTGATCAAATACCACCAAAAGAAAGTTCTATTTGTGTGAAAAAAAAAAGATCCATTTTGTTCGGGTACATCCTTGCATGGCCGCGCAATTGCCAGTTAAAGTAGCGCAGTGCTAATAAAAAAATGGCTTGGTCATGAAGGGGGTAAAACCTTCCGGAGCTCAAATGGATAAAGTGCGCACCCCCGCCCAAGAATGCATCTTCAGATGCTGTTTGTTGCTGTACATGGGGGGGACACATTCTCTGTGCTTGCGGAATACATAATCATTATGGGCAGTGTAAAAGAAATTGCGATTTGGAGCATTGCTCAGCACATGCACAGTTTGGGCATTGCAGGCAGTTGAGTCGTAGTTGCTGGTGCTGTGCTCCCTAATGTCATCTCAATGCATTAGATCACACTAACAGGAAGTCAGGGAAGTGTAGCGGGAAAGAATGCAGAGCAGAGATCTTCCAAGAAGAGGAAATGTAAGTGTTTGGGTTTTGTAGTTTTACATCTAAAAAAGCTAGATGATATTGCACTTTGGGTTTAATATCACTTTAATTCAACCTCATTACACCTTTGGAACCTTTTCACTGTTCACATTTTGCAGTATATCACTTATTTAGATAAAGTTTTATTATAATAATAATCATAATTATGATTGATCTATATAGTTCCTTTTACATCCCAGAATTTTCTACTTATAACACAACAAAACTGTGTGACTTTGTTTACAGGTGACACCGCCAACCTTGGTCCAAACACAAGTCGAGGGCGGCTCCACTCTTTTCAAGCTGGACTATTTTGGGGAGGAGGCATACCTGACCCAGTCTTCACAGCTGTATCTAGAGACCTGTATTCCAGCACTGGGAGACACGTTCTGCATTGCACAATCCTATCGTGCTGAACAGTCCCGGACGAGGCGTCACTTGGCTGAGTAAGAGCACTAAACGTGGGGTTGGTCGGACGTTCTAGTTTCTTCTTTGAGGGTCAGTTCACACCACAGAGATGTGCTTTAGATCCATTTCGGTGTGTTTTTGATGCATTTCAGATGCTTTTTTTTGTTTTGTTTTTTCCAACTGTAATGGGGTCTGGTGTGTTTTTTGATGCATTTTACCATGATCTGGTCCAGTCCAGTCCAAGAAAAATGCAACATGTTCTACTTTTTTTTTTTTTTTTTTTTCTGGAACACCTTGGAACTGATCCCACTGGTGTGAATATGCCATTGGAAAACATGTAATTTACTTTCCATGCATTTTTGATGCAGAAAAAAATGCATTGGACTGCATGTGGTATGAATTAGCCCCAATGTTGAAGCCTCTTCCCTTTTCTTCTTTTACCTAGAGGAAAGTTTAAAAACGCTGTAAGCTTTTTGTGTTGTCTGTTGGCCCTCATCAGGGACAGTAATAGATACTTAACAGGTTTTACCTTCCTTACTTTATCCAACACTAAAACTGCTGCATTGTAACTGCCAAGAATTGTGTTGGCATTTCATTTTATAATCTGATTGGACCTCTTATTATATTTCTATCTGTGTTTGATTTTAGATACACGCACATAGAGGCCGAATGTCCTTTCATGACATTTGAAGATTTGCTAAACCGCCTGGAAGATTTGGTGTGTGATGTTGTGGACAGAGTGATGAAGTCACCTATGGCGCCTTTGGTCATGGAGCTGCATCCGGTAGGTGTTTTGCACATAAACAGCTTTTCCTTTTAAACATTGATATTAAAGTGGTTGTAAAGACTCAAGGTTTTTTACCTTAATGCATTATGTGCATGAAGGTAAAAAACCTGTGTGCCACAGTGCCTCCATCCCCCTCAATACTTACCTGAGCCCCATCGCAATCCAGCGATTGGCTCCCGCTGCTGTCAGTCATAGCCAGTCAACCAATGAGGAGAGGGGATGGGGCCAAGCCGCAGCTCCATGTAGAGCAGCGGCTTGGGAACACACCTGCTCGGCTGCCCCCATAGCAAGCTGCTTACTATGGGGGCACCCAACGGAAAGGAGGAGCCAGGAGCACCGGCAAGGGACCCGAGAAGAGGATCGAGGCTGCTTTGTGCAAAACCACTGCACACAGCAGGTAAGCATAGTATTAAATAAATCACTCGGCAACTTATAAACTTAAATAAAACTCACATAGTGACTACCCAACTTCTAATACCAAGAAAAAGTCACACTTTCACCCTCGAAAGCAAATACTAATATTCACAACCTTTTTCTTATCTTTAACTCAAATTATTAAATCAAGCCATAAAATTATAAATAAAAGTCCCAAAAATAAATTTCCAAGTCCAACACAATCTCTCAATCCTGTGTGTCCAACTTCAATATTTCCATCACTCCAGACCCGTGAATACCTCAATAAAATATAAAACTAAAATAGTGTATTACCTTCAAATAATAAGTTTATACCTTCAAAATAAGTATATACTTTAATCTGTGCAAAAACAAAATAGATTCAACTGTGAATAACGTGAATCGTGCAAAATCACTCTGTGTACACTATAAAATAAACTAATAGTGACATTGTGTACACTCAAAAAATAAAATATAAATTAAAAATTATATTAAATAAACCAAATCAATATTAAGCAAATAAATAAATACAATAAATTAAAACAAAAAGTGAACACTCCGTGACCACCTCTATATGGCAAGAATGCATACAATTACCCTCACGGAGTAATATCAAGCCTTAAGGGATATTCAGATGTTTTAGCAGTCACTTTCAGGCTCTCAATACCTTTATGTAGGGTAAACCTTTAATGCACCATCATCCTCATATAAGATAGAAAAGAACCCATGTAGTATAATATAGTAGGTACCAAATCATTTACTAAAGCATCTTACATTAGGGACTTGAACAATCAGTAATAGATTCCCATGACTCAGCTGCAGCAGCTTCCTGAGATGTAAAACACGTTTTTCCAGTAATCAAAATGGCCGCGCCGCCACTAACGGTTCTGCGCAATTAAGTCAGATGTCACATCCACTGATGCGTTTCGTCACTTCCGGACTTCTTCTGAAGGGATCGCATAGTATGTTTGTTTGTTATTTAAAAGAAAAAAAAACAAACCTTTTTAGTATCGCTTTAAGGTTGAATTGCAGAAAATAAACCCTCCCATTATTTTTAAACATAATGCATAGAGATTTTTTTGTGAGTGTGTACATAATTTTTTTTTTTTTTTACCAGTATTCAAATGTCTGTCACCCCCCCAACAGTATTGTGACGTGCAGACTTTTCTTAGCTCTAACTCCCAAATCTATTCTTTGCAGGAATTCAAGCCACCAAAGCGTCCTTTCAAAAGAATGAATTACCCTGAGGCCATTGCCTGGCTTAAAGAAAATGATGTCAAGAAGGATGATGGCACCTACTACGAGTTTGGGGAGGTAAAATATTTGCTGATTCTTGGCATGTCATTAAAGGATAAGTTCACCTTTTGTAACATGTTCCACTTGTTTTAGGGTAGCACATGTAACATGCTTCAGCTCCTGCATCTTCTCCCCCGCTTCTCCCTGCACCCGCTGTCACTTTTTAGGAGTAGCATGGCTGTGCAGGGCTCCGCCCACATGGCTGCATCATTCATTATGGATATCCTGTGAATGAATGAACTACAACTAATATCTGCCATTGTGGCATACGTCTTGTAGTTCTCAATCAACTGCAAGGGCACTGCTGAGTGCGGTGGTAGTCTACTCATTCTTCCTGGACTTCAGCAGCTGTTTGCCCGTAAAGGAGGTACAAGTAGAAAGTTGACTGTCTGCAGGATCCTGACATTGTACCCATGATCAGCAGATTGCAGGTGCAATGCTTTACAGGCTGCAGAGTAATAAATAATTGCACTTTTTTTTTTTTACCTGCAAAAAGTCAGGTTTGTGGTTATTAATAGTCAGCAGCTACAAAAACTGTAGCTGCTGATTTTAATACACACACTCACCTGTCCCAGGGTTCAGCGATGTACTCCCCCACGCCATCCATTCTCTCCTTCTCGCACCAGCATCACAACTGCGAGCACCAGGCTGTGACAGCTTGTGGCTTTACAGCCAGGTGCCCACTGCGCAAGTTGCATCGCCCATTCTGATTGGTTCAGCAGTCTTCTGGGACCTGTGAAGGTTCCCAGGAGACTGCGGAAGGAAGGAGGGGGGCTGAACTTCCAGCTCACTTCGCCGCTGCGAACTGAGCCGAAAGTGGGAGTGGGCACCTGTCAAAAAATGGGTATCCACTCCCCCATAGAGGTGCCAAATATGTCTGTGGAGGGGGGGGGGGAGGAGTGGAACTCTGTTTTAAATAAACTGACAAATTTTAAAACCCTTCTCTACTCCATATAAAAAACAAAGTTTTGGTTATACATACACTTTAAATCTTAGTTAGACAGACATTTGTGTTATTAGATGCAGTGGATACTTCAGGAGCCTCTACAGGATATAGTCAGTTCTTCTCTCGATAAGCCTTGCTTCAATCCTTCCACATCTACTCATGCACTAATACTGCACTAACACTGCACTGATACTCCAAGCACTTGACCAACTGACACCAACCACATTTATGAATCCCTTGCTACCTATTGTGGTGCCATCCACTGGCTGCAGACACTCAACAGTTCAGGGAAGTGAGTTGGATGCTGACAATTCTTCAGGCCATGTAGGTTTTAGGAGCTACTGTTGTTAGTAAGTTCTCTATTGATTGTATCAGAGGAAATGGAAGAAGAGCATTTGCTCATTGTGATAAGAAATTGATTAAACCTGAAACTGTTCCCATTTAGTAACTGCAGGCACAGAAATTTTGAAAAGAGGAGCGTGGAGTTAATCATTATTTAGTGTATAGTTTATATGGTCTTTTTTTTTTTTTATAACATTAGGATATTCCGGAGGCTCCAGAGAGATTTATGACTGACAGCATTAATGAGCCAATCCTGCTGTGCCGCTTCCCAGCTGAGATCAAATCTTTCTACATGCAGCGCTGTGCTGAAGATCGCCGTCTCACTGAATCTGTAAGTCCAGCTATGTGCTGTCTTTCATTCTTAAACGGGAAAATGCAATTTTAATGGTTAATGCAGATACAGACGTGCTCAGGTATTTAGACTAAAATGTCCTTCTGATCTTTCCAAAAGCAATTATCGCAGTTACTACATTTTTCTCAATGAATGCCAAGTGTTCTCTGATTGGACGAGGTCAGAAAATGCCATGCATTCATTTAGAAAAATGCAATACGTTCTGTGAATGGCGCACATGCAGAGCAACTGATCCCCTGTGGTTACTATGCAGCAGGGAAGCCGCTATGCAAAGGACCTGGAAGACAGCAGCAACCACTGTGGTAATGGTGAATACTACAGCGATTCTCCACTTCCACAGCGGTCCCATAGGTATGACATATGCATACTTTCAATGGTTCAAGCTGGACCAGTGTAACGATGTAATGAAATCCATGCTTGGAGTTCAGCTTTAATGAATCAAGCTGTAACCTCTCCCATAATCTCTCTCATTGCTCTTGTTTAGAATTGCCCTGCTGCAAGACAAATGTAATTAAATGCCCCCCAATGTGTGTATAAACATTGTAGATTACCTTCATGGTAGCACAATGGGCTTGGAATCTAATGGGGAGAAAACAATCCTTATGTTTCATATAAAAGATATTTGTGTATCAAGTAAAAGCCTCATTTCCTTGGCAGATGTGAAGTGGAAGTAAAGATTAATTTACAATACCAGTGCAGCTTTCCAGGGACAGCAAGAGCAAGGAAAATGCTGGAAGGTTACTTTGCATAATTGATTGAGTTGCCTCGGCATGATAAAGGAGCTAAGATGTGTTAAAAATGCACATGCTGTATTATAGATTAGAAGTTTAGTCACCTGACCAACACGTTGGATAATGTTTCAGATATTAAAAATAGTCTTACAAGGACTAGATAAACTGACCCATACAGTCATCAAATGACCAATTTTTTTACTTCACCGGTTAAATTCATGTATATATGGGCTGCAATCCATATCTACAGCCCAATATATTACAACTTTACAGTAGACAACCATTTGGATGAAACTTTCTTGTTGTGGATGCTTTGCCAAGTAAGCAGATCAAATGTTCTGATTTCACTTGCTCCATGCTTATGGTTCAGCATGGCAGCCAGGCAGCTATCATTTAACAGGAAAGTCAGACATGGCAGCCAGCATTTTTCTCCCAGTAGAGGTTTCTTTTAATCTAATGCACAATTTTTTATTTATTTTTTTTTTTACTTTTTTAAAGGTGGATGTTCTTATGCCAAATGTTGGTGAAATTGTTGGAGGCTCCATGCGTATCTGGGATAGCGAGGAGCTACTGGAAGGGTACAAGAGAGAAGGAATTGATTCTACACCCTATTACTGGTATACTGACCAGGTATGACAACACATTTAAATGTATTTAACATATTATAGCTACTAAAACAGGACCAATCACACGTCTGTTAAAGTGATATTAAGGCTTGGTTTAAAAAAATAACAACAAACTTGTGATACTTACCTGGTCTGGTTTTGCAGAGAGCAGGCTCTGATCCTCCTCTTCTTGGGTCCCCTGCCAGCGCTCGTGTCCCATCCACGCTGCTGAGTGCCCCCATAGCAAGCCAGTTGCTCTGGAGCCACTCGTGCTTGCTCCCTCCCGAACCGCCTCTGTATGTCTATAAGGCACACAGAGCACGGCTCAGCCCTGCCCCCCGCTCATGCCTCACTGACTGTGATTGCCATTGGCTCTCACTGCTGTGTTTCAGCCAATAAGGAGAGAGAGAGCCGGGAGAATACTGGATTGAAATGAGGCTCAAGTAAGTAATAGGGGGCTGTGCGGGGAGCAGCACACAAAGGTTTTTTTTTTTTTACCTTCATGCATAGAATGCATGAAGGTTAAAAAAAACTTCAGCCTTTACAACCACTTTTTAAAAAGGGAAGTAGGTGTAATAGGTCGTGCATCTGGCCGTGATACGCATAAGGTGTTTTGATATAACAAAGGGGCTCATTCACACCAGGTGCATTAAGCTGTGTTGATCTGTATAGATCACTGTCCACGCCATACAGTTGCAGGGTGTGCATTGCATAAAATGTAGCATGTCTGTATTTTTAAGTAGCACAGTTCACCACTTGTTATGTGATGCATACCCTGTTTCCCCGAAAATAAGACCCAGTACTACTTTTGGGAATTGTTAAAATATAAGACCCACCCTGAAAATAAGACCTAGTTGTGATCAGGGATTTTTTCCCAGCCAGAACGTGGCAGAATGCTGTTCCGCCACCTCCGGCACTGGCCCTGTGCACATCAATATCTACTGTCTCTTATAAAAAAAGAAACGCAGCTTTTGTGCTTGCAAGTGACAATCCCTCTTGTAAGTGACAGCACCATCCACTCCCACAGAACTTCCCTACCTCTGTACTTACTGTGGGGCAGGGAAGGAACAGATATCTGTGCAGTATGCAGTGTGTTTAGGGGCGGGGCATCTCATCCTGCAGCCTAATGCATGGAAGCCGATGCCCCAGGGGTGATCACCGGCCAGTGGGGAAGAGGCGAGCGGTGAGTAAGTGCACTTGGTGCACTGTGTGGAAAGATAGGACCTAAAACAGGAGTTACTATAGAGAGGGGCCGGCTGTTGACAGCTGTGTCTTGTAAAGCTAGCTACCGTATGAGGGCAGTGGAGGGGGGGATGTGCAAAGGTGAGCTGCAGTCAGATGTTGCAGAGGTATATTTACAGGTGAGTTGCAGACATGGTGCATAGGTGAGCTGCGGCTGGGGGGGGGGGGGTGCAGAAGTGAGCTGAGTTTCAACCCACTTTTGCAAACCCCCGGCCACAGCTCAGCTCTGCACCTCCTGTCCAAAGCTTGCCCCTGTAGCCCCCAGCCACAGCTCACCTCTGCATCCCCATCTGCAACTCACCCCTTCACCCTGTCTGTGGCTCATCTCTGTACCCCTGTTTGAGACTCACCTGTCAATTCACCCCTGCAACACCTGACTGCAGCTCACAACTGTCATCATCTGGCCCTCTCTATAGTAACCCTCATCCACAACTGCCTGCAGCTCACCTCTGCACTCTCTGTCCAAACTGTGCATTAAAAAATAAGACCTACCCTGAAAATAAGACCTAGTGTGTTTTATTGAGCCAAAAAAAAATATAAGACAGTGTCTTATTTTCAGGGAAACACGGTAGATTGGAATGAAATGTCTTTTTGAGAGATTTTAATAATGTTAAAAAGGGATAAAAAAAAAGTAAACTGTGCGAGGTTTGTTTTGTAACATAGCATGACACCGCCTTTCACAATGCACACCACCAGCGATCACTTATTGTAAGCAGTGCAACACGTATGAATGAGCCCTAAGTGCCCAAAAGTTTGTGGACACCAGACCGTCACACTTTGTATGAGCTTGTTGGACATCCCAGCAGAACCATGGGCATTCATATTGAGTTGTCCCCCTACCCCCATCTCTTTTCAGCTATAATAGCCTCCACTCCTCTGGGGAGGTTCTCCACAAGAATGGAGGGTCTGCGTATTTGTGAGGTCAGGTAAAGATGTTGGATGAGAAAATTATGGCGCACAAGCAGTGTTCCAATTCATCCAAAAGGAGTTCAGTAGGTCTGAGGGCAGGGATCTGTGCAGGAGTTTCTCCACACCAAACTCCTCAAACCATGTCTTTATAGACCTGACTTTGTGCACAAGGGGGCACAGTCATGGAAACTGTGTGGAAGGTTAGAAGTGCAGTATTGAATAAAATGGCTTTGTGTGCGTAACAGCACCCTTCCCTGGAAACACCTGAATTCAGTCATTTAGGAGGGTGGCCATGAATTTTGGCTAAATAGTTTGTTTTAAGCCTTCTGTACAGTAGACATGTCTGTCATCATATGGTTACAGGTTCTAGTAGCAGCATTGCCAATTTAGCTGGAGGAAGAGTGTGGGATGACAGGCATAGCTGTCACCCAGCACGCCAGAACATCATTGATGTGATGAGTACATATTAGCCCTGGTTCACACTGATGCGGTGCGGAATTTTCAGCGTTTTCAGTGCGAATTCCGCACCACATCAGAATCGCACCATGTGAACCGCTGCAGGTGTGTATGTTAACAACACCCTGAAAGCAGTCCACAAAACGCAGTGCGATGTGCAGAATCGGATCGTATAGGTGTAACTACCCATGCGATCCGATTCTAGTGCGGATCAAAAAAGTGTCCTGCATGTTTTTGGTGCGGTGTGAATAGAGCCATACAAGATGTAGGGCTCCTATCGCACCGCACACAAATCGCATGTGATTTGTGCAGGAATGCGGTGCGGTTCCTATGTGAATCACATGGGATGGACCGCATCGCACTGATATGAACCCAGGCTAAAGGATAAGTTCATCTTTTGTAAAAAAAATAAATTAAATAAAAATAATAAAATTGTGCATTTATTATTATTATTTTTTTTTTTTTTACTAGGAGCCTGTAAAACATTGCACTCGAGATCAGAAGATTGAGGGTGCAATCTCAGGCTCCTTCAGACTGTCCAGTGTGAGCTACTTGTACCTGGCATGAGCAGACAGTTACACAACGGCAGGAAGCTTCAATGAACTACCTAGCTCAACAGCTCCCTGCTAGTTCATTGAGATCTACAAGCTGACAGCCGCTAAGGATTTTGGTGCTTGTAGTTTATTCATTCACAGATGTCTGTGAATGAATGATGTGTCTGGGAGGGAGAAGCCCCACACAAGCGTGTTTCTTTTCACTTGTGACAGAGGGTGCGGGGAGAGGATCTTCAGTGCGCTGTCACAACGGAAGCTGGTGGGGACTTCTGTAACTTGTTACATGTTACACCCTGAATACGGTGTAACATGTCACAAAAGGTGAAGTCATCCTTTACACAGGTCACAGGTTCATGTCTCAATTATTATTTATTTATTTATTTATCACAGGTACTTATATAGCGCTGTCAATTTACGCAGCACTAAATATATTTTGTACATTCACATCAGTCCCTAACCCTCAAGGGGTGTACAATCTAAGGTCCCTAACTCACATTCATACATACACAGACTAGGGACAATTTAGACAGGAGCCAATTAACCTCCCAGCATGTCTTTGGAGTGTGGGAGGAAACCAGAGTACCCAGAGGAAACAAACACAGGCACAGGGAGAACATGCAAGCTCCAGGCAGGTGGTGCCGTGGTTGGGATACGAACCAACAACCATAGTACTGCCAGGCGGAAGTGCTAACCATTTAGCCACTGTGCTATTATTATGATTATACAGGATTTATATAGCGCCAACAGTTTGTTCAGCTCTTTACAATATAAGGGAGACGGTACAATTACATTTCAGTACAGAAGGAATATGAGGGCCCGGCTCGTGGAGCTTACAATCTAAAGGAAGGGGGAGGTGATACAAAAGGTGATAGCTGTGGGGTATGATTTGGTGGAGGTGATTCAAGTCCAGTTCTTAGGTGGAGGTGGGGTAGGCTTCCCTGAATAAGTGCGTTTTTAAAGATTTTCTAAAGGCAGACAGAGTGGGGGCTGACCGGACATACCCTGTACTGGACATATACTACATTTAGGTGAATTAGGTGGAGCCTAAACAGTATTAAGTGGCACAAGTAATATTGTACGCCAAGTTTAATGGTCCTGGAAGGTGGGGCTCAACATGACCCTACCATAATATCCGAACACATCTTTTATAGCGTATTTCTCCCCCAAGGCTTTAGGCGTACAATAAACTCGATGTAACTTTGGGGGTCATGTGCTATGCTGTAATAACCATTCCTCTTTCTCCCACAGCGTAAATACGGCACATGTCCTCATGGCGGCTATGGTTTGGGGTTGGAGAGGTTCCTTACCTGGATCCTGAACAGACACCACATCCGAGACGTGTGCCTGTACCCGCGATTTGTCCAACGCTGTAAACCTTAATGCCCTCCCGACACTTGTCAGTAAGCTGCACTAATAGGAGAGCCCCACCTCGTGTCGTGGAAACAAACCACTTACCTACCTGCTGCTGCTTTTTATCAGGACATCTTCAGAACCTACGTGACGTGTTCTGGATTTTCATCTTCGGTTCTTTCCATCTCAGACAATGCTGTTTTTTTCCATCCATTTATCTACAATATTCCAGTAATGTGGAGAAGTCATTCTCGCATCATTGAATCACGCTGTCTTCTTTAATAAATGGAAACCTTTACTGGTCCATCCCAGCAGATGTAGAAAGTGTCTATTAAATTTCACTCTTTGTTTCTTCCTATGTTACTACTTCAAAAAACACATATCCAATATTGTAGACAAGAGATGTTTAACGTTTTATTTCACCTAAAAGTTATCTTTAAAGCAGTATTCAACCCAAATCCAAAAATGTCATATTGAAGCTTACCAATCCTTAGATGTATTACTGCATTAGTTTTCTCTTTTTGCCTTTTCCCTTTATTTTCAGTTAGCCAGTAACACACCTCCTGTATTAAAGTGCCTCCACTCTGGGTGAAGGAGCACAGGGTCACCATTGGACAGCAGCATTGTTAATCTGGGGGGAAGGGAGTGTTAGTGTATCTAAATCTGCTAGTACATCTAACAAATTGAGGCCAAACTCCAGCTAACACTTTATAAGCAGTTACAGCAAACAATTATTTTTCCTTTTGGGATAAAGGTTTTGCGCAAGTAAATAAAAGCTGATTATTGTAGGCACCCCTGTCAGTAGTAAATGGTTTGTCCCATCTGCTACATCTGCAGAAAAGCTTGTTCTTTTGAAAAACTACAGATTTAATGGCCAGATCAAATAAAAATAAAGGAAAGAGCGCCTAAAAAAAAAAGCAAATATCTAGGAATTGGTTAGTTGCAGTATAGTAAATGGTGCTTTTGGGTTTAATACTGCTTTTCAACAGATGCTAATTTTCTAACTCAACCACTGGCTTCTTATCCCTAAAGCCCAACTCTGGGCAAATGTTTCTTTCCCATGCATTCAGACTGTGCCCACACTGCATGGGGCAACTGCTTGTTGTTTTCTAGGGGTGAGCACAAAGTTTATACTCACCTGGTCCTTCAATCCTCCGGAAAACCTTGCTCACCCACGGTCCAACGGAGCGTGCTCTGGCCGTGACGTCAGGAACGATCCATTTTCAAGACTTCTGAACTGCGGGGATTCCAGACTGGTCTTGTACTGGGAGGATCAGGTAAGTATATCTCTACTGTCCTATCTCCTAGAATAAAACTAACATGTTAACGTGCAGCCACACTGCACAGGAAAAAAAAATTGCCCAGAACTCGGCTTTAAGGGTGTAGTCTCTGTACAATCACTGATGTGTCCTCGGTTTACCCCCCCGGTCACATCAAGCCCGATTTTTGAAATTGTGCGACTTACAGTGAAGTACCACGATTTCAAAGTCGGGTGACTTACCGATTTCAGGTGCGATTTGCAAGATGTCTGACACAGATGTCTATACAAAACGCACCAAAAGTAGTGCATGCATCGACCAAGTTGGAACCGCACTGATATGACCGCTCTAATAGCAGACAATAAGGTGCGACTTGGCATACGATTTGCAAGTCACATGGCATGCAAATCGCATGCCAAGTCGCACCCTATGTGACCTGGGTGTTAGGCTGATATTCCCAGAAGCCACTAAGATTAAAGTCAGATTTTGAGCATCCCCTGCAACATTTTTGCTGAGATACTCCCAATAGGAAATCACGTCTAAATGGATGCAGACCCTGCAATTTCTCTCAATCAGGTGCAGCAGCTAAAATATGAAACCACGCCCATTAGATTCACTTTGCACATGGGCACAGACAAACCAATAGCTTTTTCTCTAGAATAGCAAGAGGTAGGAATCTGCAACAGTTTGCTTTAAAATTCTTGCAATGTACATGATCACTCAGAGAATTTTTGTTTTTGTGCTTGGGTTTTTTTTTCAACAAAAGTGGAATTACTCTTTAATGTTCACTACTAACAACGTCACCATCACTCCCACCCCCCACATGCCAAAGTCCTGGGTGTCACCCTGGACTCAAACCTTTCCTTCCAACCTCACGTCCAATTACTATCAAGGTCATGCAGGCTCCACCTCCGCAACATCTCCAAGATACGTACATGCCTCACCCCAGACACTACTAAACAACTCGTACTGCTTTAGTCACGGACTGAAATCGTCCACTGCTTATCTGTTCCTGTCCAAAATTTATGACGCTAGCTTTGAAATGTGCGCACATTGGAAGGGACTCACGCTGACACACAAGTTCAGTCTATGAATACTTCTAGTTTATTATAATGAAAAAGTGAACTTATATATGCAGAATGATGCAAGAGTCATGTGACAACAGCATAAGCATTATATTAGTCTTTGATTGGTCATTTCCACACGTAAACAATCTCCGTCATGGTATAGGTGTGATCTTCTTCCAGGCCTTATCTCATAGGAAAACAACATTCCTTTGTTACAAGTTGGCACGGTGGGAGGGGGTCTGTGTGTGTGAGCAGACATTTCTTAAGCAAGGATTTCTTATAGTACCACAAAGCCCAGCAGGCAGAAAATATTCACACAACATATGTATTAAAGTATAAAAGTAAATATTTATAAAACTTATAGAAATAGCGTATATATATATATATATATATATATATATATATATATATAATATATATATATTCAATAGGAAACAAAATAGGCATTTTACCAAATCCATCACAGTACACTCCCTCATCTCACGCCTGGACTACTGCAACTCCCTTTTCACTGGCCTACCCAAACAAACACTATCCCCACTCCAGTCTATCCTGAACTCAGCAGCGAGACTCATCCACCTCACCAACCGCTCCACATCCGCCTCCCCCCTCTGCCAATCCCTTCACTGGCTCCCGATTGCCCAGCGCATCAAATTCAAACTGCTAACTCTGACCTACAAAGCCATTCACAACGCCGCCCCAAACTACCTAACCGACCTGATACCCAAATACCACCCTACCCGTGCCCTTCACTCCTCACAGGACCTCCTCCTCTCTAGCTACCTGGTCTCCTCCTCCCATGCCCGATTGCAGGACTTCTCCAGGACTTCCCCCATCCTCTGGAACTCCCTACCCCAATCCATCAGACTGTCGCCTACCCTCCTCACCCTTCAGGCGCACCCTGAAAACCCACCTCTTCAGGGAAGCCTACCCCACCCTCACCTAACAACTGACCTCCACTCCTCCCACCACTCCATCCCCTACAGCCATTTCCTCCTGTACCACCTTCCCCTCCCTCCTAGATTGTAAGCTCGAAAGAGCAGGGCCCTCGAACCCCTCGTGTATTGTATTGTTACTGTCTTGTCTCATGTTCTGTCCCCCCTGCTATTGTACAGCGTTGAGCAAACCCTTTGGCGCTATATAAACACTGTATAATAATAATAATGTTCACACTGCTCTTAGACAAGCTGCCATCCATGTGAAATAGGCCTTAGTGCAGTGGTTCTCAACCTGTGGGTCGCGACCCCTTTGGGGGTCAAACGACCCTTTCACAGGGGTCCCTTAAGACCATCAGAAAAACACATATTTCCGATGTGTAAAGAGCAGCTGCTGTGTAGAAAGCAGCTGCTGTGTAGAAAGCAGCTACTCTGTTAAAAGCAGCTACTGTGTTGAAAGCAGCAGTATTGGAGGTAAAACGACACTCATGAATTATAATTACTGGGTAAATAATTTTATGGTTGGGGGTCACCACAACATGAGGAACTGTATTAAAGGGTCACGGCATTAGGAAGGTTGAGAACCACTGCCTTAGTGCATTGGGGTGCCTTTCAAATGGAATGGTATTGCAATGTGATAATGGAAGTAATGCACTTTAACATGTAACGCACTGCAGTGGAAACGTGTTCCACCCTTACAGAAGATTAGTGCACCCAAAACTGAGTTTGTGGATATCAGTGGTTTCAGATTGCTTCGGAAATGATTCTCAAAACTTTTTCCACTTTTAATGTAAAGTCACCACCACCCCTCAACCTCAGATACTGGCTCGACACTTTTGGTGTTGTCATGCGCCCTCTGCTGGAAAGTGCATAGAAGCTGCCACACTATTGGACTCCATTTCTTGGGAGTCCTTACTTTTTTAAGCAATGAACTGTCATGTGGTCAATATTCAGATTACAGCTATGGGTATCCTTTCAATAAATAATGAGTTTATGATATGCTTCCTCCATATTACTAAAATATTCCTAGCATTATATGTTGCAGTAATGTAAACACTGAAAGGGAACATGTGCACACCGTATATTAAAATATAATCTACCTGGGGCCTAGTAATGAGACATCATGTTATTTTATACCATCTATTGTTTTAGCCCCATATTGCCATCTTGCTGAGACCAATCTGTAACATTTGGTCTCTTAATAAAGGTTGTGCATTACCTGGAATGTGGCTTCATTTCTAATGCTTGTGAATATCTGCATTTGAAAAGTTGGGAGAATGTCTATACAGTGCCTTGAAAAAGTATTCATACCCCTTGAAATTTTCCACATTTTGTCATGTTACAAGCAAAAACGTAAATGTATTTTATTTGGATTTTCTGTGATAGACCAACACAAAGTGTCACATAATTGTGAAGTAAAAGGAAGATGAGAAATGGTTTTCAACATTTCTTACAAATCTGTGAAAAGTGTGGTGTGCATTTGTATTCAGCCCCCCGGAGTCAATACTTTGTAGGACCCCCCTTTCGCTGCAATTCCAGCTGCAAGTCTTTTTGGGGATGTCTCTTACCAGGTTTGCACAGCTAGAGACGGACATTTCTTCCCATTCTTCTTTGCAGAATAGCTCAAGCTCTGTCAGATTGGATGGACAGCGTCTGGGAACAGCAATTTTCAAGTCTTGCCACAGATTCTCCATTGGATTTAGGCCTGGACTGTGACTGGGCCATTCTAACACAGGAATATGCTTTGATCTAAACCATTCCATTGTAGC